GACGTCATAATTCAACTTATGACCAACACTGGGAGATGTGATGTCTTTAATGTTTTAGAGCATCCAGCCCCAAATATGTTCTCCTTCGTTGCATGAAAGATATCATGTCTTGCTAGATATGGCATTTAACCTTGGTACGCTAGAGGCATATACTGTACTATGACTTTTGTTATAAACTAAAGATTCAGCTTCGTAGAAAATAATAGAAATAATAGAAATAAAAAAGAAAAACGAAATAAAGAATCAAATTATCCCGAGTTACTAAATTATAAGATACACTAAAATAAATACCTATTTTACGATCATGTGAACACTCAACGTCTAGCATGCAGACAGTTCACATCAGAGTGTCGTTGATGTGATTTTGGCGCTCTACCTCTGTTACTACGCACAGTCTCCGTGATGCTGTATGCTCAGGATACTGCCAAAGCCACCAGTAAGGTAAGCAAAGCCTCGTTTAAATAAATTTAATAAGTGTATCTGTTAAACTTTCATTACTTTGCAACCATTGCAAAGTTCAGTGTGGTATCCTAGGCCGGCCTTGAGCATACACATGTTTTTATTGTAAGGTATCATAGGCTAGTTCTTGACTAAATAGATGCTGTAATGAACTGTACTGTATCTGAATAACGATCCTCCTGTAACCATTGAAAGTGTGCGGGTCACGTGACTAATGCATTATATATCCCCATTTCCAGGTGTACAAGACAAGTGTTAGCGAGAGCATCTTCCTCTTACTGGTAGCCACTGCATGTTAATTAACGATGTAAGCTAATTGAGATAAGGAAGCCCACCCTTTGTAATTTATGGGCTGTTCACAGAAAGGATAGAATATCTATTAGAAACATTTCAAGTTCAGGGAGGCAGGTTGATAGAGTTGAGTGTCATGCCGAGAAAACTGAAGTTGAAGATATATAAGATAATAGACCAGTGTTGATGTGTGGAATGGAGACGCGAGGCCAGAGGGTGGAGGGAGGAGCTGGAGAGGACTGAGAGAAGGATGTTATTAGGGACAGGTTGAGAAACGAAGGTATTAACAAGACCGACAGTAATATGTATAAACAATAGAATAAAAGAGGCAAGGTTAAGTGGTCTCATGATGTGATAGGACGAGGGAGGGAAGGGGGAAACAATCAAATGAACTGATCAGAGGAAGGAGAACAAGAAGGCAGATGAAAGGGTGGAAGGACGTGGTTGAGAAAATATCGGCTGAGGAGGCTGAAGACAGAGGAACATGGTAAAATGATTATAGAGAGAAGGAAGAAAACTGAGGAGTTAACTGTCCCCTCCAAATTTGCAATGCTCAAGAAGGGTCACTGAAGTAAATATGAAAAACGGTAATTACTGAAATCAACTTAAGATATTCACAATATGAAGCTATATGCAAAATTTTACGGTCAGGTAACCACGAAGTCCTCAATAATATTGAAAGGAAATGACTCCATACAAATGGAAAGACGTACCCTAATATACTGTAACCTCGAGCAATATTATGGTGTGACATGAAAAAAGAAAGATAAACTAACCTTTGACACAGATATTGTTCTTGGTCGGCTAGTACTGGACACGGGTTACTGAATTAAAGGTATTTAATTTTTCTCTTCGCAAGATAGTTAAAAATCAATATACCTTAACATTGGAATAACAATGAATCGAAAAGACCGCCATTAATCTATATCGTGCTTGTGTAGTAACCCTATAAGCCTACAGTGGGCAGGAGTGTTTGGAATTTAGTATGACTGGATTCTCCTTCCATGGTTATCCAAACGTGATCTACCGGCACAATTTTCCTAACTTCCAGCAGATAATGGATGGATAGAATAGTCTTAATGGAGAGAGAGAAACCAATACTAAAATTAAATGAATACATACATATATTGTCAAGTGCTTAAATAATTTTCAATGCATAATTATACATCTAAGAACGGTGTGAGGAAGAACTTGGTTACTTTACTGATGTGATGATTTACATTGCATGGCGTCAGCAAGCCGGGTGCAGGCTCACAGCGGGTGAAATTTGGCGGAGTTTTATGTAAGCGGTATCATTTTCATGACATTATTAATTAATTATTCCCAAAATTATTTAAAGGTGTCCTTCCTTACTAAATGATTGTTAGATGCAAAGGCAAAACATGTCATGACTGTTGCTACCAATAATGAAGAAAACAAAAATCACATTTGTGCCGTGCACTGTACAGTACCGTACAGTACACGGCACAGTCTGTACTGTACCTTTAGGATCCCTGTTGATGGGCTACGCCGCTACTATCCATCCCTCGATCTACCATAAATTGCTTTGCGATCTACTGGTAGATCGCGATTGACGTTTTGGCCACCCCTGGCGGCGCTACACTATACCTGAAACAGATAATTTGTGTTACGTCCGGGCTAACAGAAGGATACATATTACGAAATTAATTTATAAATGATAAGCAGCCAAGTTAACCTTCGGTAGAGATGACGTAATGAGCTGGTCTCAGACTGGTTTACCACGGGTGCCCACTGGGTAAACCGCCCACTCAGCAGGGCAACCAAACTAAACATAACTTGCCGGTTATTTGGTAAACTCTGATAAAAGCGGAAGGAGAGGATAGATACCACTAAAAATATTAGCTTGTGGAGAGGCTTCAGGTAATGGGGTAAGAGAGTGTAGCTGACTGAGACTGTATAACTTAAAGAACAAACAAATACTATGCCAGTTGCCTTGGAGCTTGGTAACACATCCACAGAAACCCTTTTTAATCACAGTTGAGCTCCCTTAGCAACCAGAAGATCATCAGGACTAATGACAGCAGCAAACCTACGATTACCGTACTCGACGTAGATATAAAGCCCCCCCATATACTGTACCTGCCCGGGAGCTGACAGCTGACCAGGCAAGAGTTGGCAGGCGGTCTTCGACTTTACCAACCTAGACTTTCTCTCTCTCTCTCTCTCTCTCTCTCTCTCTCTCTCTCTCTCTCTCTCCTGATCTTTTACAGTCTATACTAGTGGCAAGCATTGTTTGGTATGGACAGCATATGAAAATGTGTAACTCTTACAAAACAGTGTAGCTCTTACAAAACAGGGTTATGATCAACCAGTTACAGTAGTTCTGGTGAGTTATTGAATGGGGTGAACTGGATAGAACTGGCTACTTATGCTCCTTAACCTTCACCGGGAGCAACAGTGTTCGTGTGTTTAAAATGTCGACAGTATAACTTCTGTTGGATTTCGCTGAAACTATAGTCTGCTGAAACAGACACAACTGACTGACGTTGACTTGCCTACAATAAAATTTACATTCACAAATATTTAAGTATAATACACACTCATTCTACAGTACAGTAGTAGAGAGTATATTCGCTGTGAGCTAGACTTGCTGCGGTGGATGTTTACCTACAGTAGAATACGCGTTCACATAATATAACTTAACCCTAGAAGCACAAGTTCCAGGATTTGTGAAAATATGCGTATACTACAAAATATACCAGGACTAGTCAGAAAATAATTATAAGATACGTAGAAAGGAAATTTCCATGGAAGGTAACCGATCCGTTTAATTTTCACTAGTGATGTATATGGCTGTTTCATCCAAAGATATAATAATGTTTGTCAAATGCTTTGTGCAGAGACTATATATTTAATTAAGATTTAAAATTTCTTTTGTTACCGAGAGCATCCTTTTTGTGTCAACCTTGACGTTGGTATAAAAAGGGGTTTTAATCTAAATAACCTGCGAGTCCATATTTTTACATTGTGTTCATTAGGTGCTCCAGTCAGTTGATCTAAGGTGCCAGTACAGAATGCCAAACACTAGGCTTGGATCGCTCATATAGTCTTATTACGTAACCGAGACTACATTTTAGGGCTTTTTGTTTAGGGCTCCACTTGGTTGTTGCTGAAGGACACATTCTAGCTCATTTCACTAGATCTACGCTGTTGTGATTGTAAAACGTTAAGTAAACACAATCTTCAGCGTAGTACATTGATGAAATATATTGTTTACGTCATGAGAACGTACGCGTCCGTCTGGCTGGTTATTGATTGGCTACTCCTGGAGGTGGGGTGGCAGGTAGCCAATGACAGCGCGTGATTCTGTTACGTCAGAACAGCATCATAAGACTCGAGGCATGTGGTAAAACAGTTGCCGCTTATCAATAATTGTTTCTAATTTTAAACTATTATTTTAGTTATATATAATATACCAACGAAGTAGAATTTCGAAAGGTTACGTTCACATAATTTCCGTGCCTATCATATATGAAAATATTAGAAAACGCTGGGTATTATCGTACGGTGCAAGGGTGCCACCTGCCTCTAGATATCGTTGGCATAAGCTGCTACCTACATGTCACTGTTAAACAGTTCTCGTTGCACAGTGCACTAAACTAGACGAAAACACGAATCCTCCTTCACCACAAGTCTCCATAAGTTAACATCCGAACCTACAGGCAAGTATTACACTCCTTGATAACATTGTCATTAGTAATGGTTGCATATGTATGTTCCAGCAACTCATGGATAATAGCATGTCCACTATCACATATCGATAAGAATCGGTGAGTAACGTTGAGGGTCAAAAGTATCGTTTACTTAATGTTCTTGTACAGTGATATTTGTCGGATTAACTTTCCATTTTTTAAACACAAGAGAAATGATTTTATGTCATCGTTGAGAATATCTTATCAGTTTTTGTGTGTTGTGATTGTCTGTACTGCATCCTGATTTTGGTTTCTTCTCTTGTTTCACCGCATATATAATGATTAATTCTACTTAACCTCCAGTTAGCTATAATTAAATTAAAGAAAGTGCATCAAATTCATTATACTGTACAGTATAGTGACTGCGTTGATTGTATACGTTCATTTGGAATCAGGAGACAAAATTAGCCTATATATTTTTTTTCTCGAAATATCTACCACAATACGCTCTGCTGACCACGTGAACATAACTAGTTTAAACAAATAGTAGTATAATAATTCTGATGTGTTTTATGGACTTAATTTTTCAGTTTTTACCTTAAATCAACCAGTTAGATGCATTCTTACTTCTTCACTTGAAAGGAATATTCATCGTACGGTCTTCTGATCAAGGTGATGCTAGGGTGTGCCTGGGATACAAACGGGTTTAGAAGGTGGGTGTCCTACGTCGCCCAGTATTCTGCGTATCGTCTACCACTCAGCATCCCATGCCCTTGACCTGTTTTCTTCCTTAGGTGATCTGTCATATCGCAGCTTGTGGCGTTATCTTACTGACCTGATCAGTTGTCTTATGTAGCTAGTCTTCTTGATAACTAATCTGTTATCTTACGTAACTGCGATTATTATTTGACGTAACTGAACTGTTATCTTACGTAGGCGAACTTATACATTACGCGATTGAAGTGTTAATTTACTCAGCTCAGTGTTTCCTCTAGCTTGAAGACAGTCTCATAATTTCATATGTTGTATTGCTAAAGTTATATTTCCTTATTTTCTTTACATAATATTTAACTAGGCTAATGACTAGTGCTATTTCTGTATATCAATGCTAAATATGTATATGCTGAAAATGAAAGCTATGTTTAGTCTTAAATATCGGTGTTGTTTTTTCTTAAATTCTGACAAAACAATATAGTCCTGCATTTCCAATTTTACATTCAATTCTGTGGAACGCGGTGCTGACTTACGTTGGCTTACTTGTACCATTAAGTGGCCGACTAGTGTATAAAGGTTGTGGACCCCCTGCTCTAGGTGAATTGTTATCGTACGCAGATTAAGTTTAATATTACACAGGTTAATCGTTACCCCATGCAGATGAAGTGTTACCCTATGCAAGTAAACTGCTGAATTGCGATCGCTCTTAACGTGGTAACATATTACGTAACTGAACTGTTATCTTTTTAAATTTAGTTACCGTTTTATATTATTCAGGTGTTTCCTAAACCTGCTGATTTTATCCCAAGTAAATAATATAATTATCTTTGATATTTTTTTTTACTTTGTTGAACCATTTGTAATACAGTACTGATTTTATCTTGCATGATTTTGTTATCTTACTTATCTACCTCCTTTCATCACTGACTTATCTTGCATATCTCACATGTCTTCCGTGATTGAGCTCGGTAGTCTCCTGAATGTGTTGAAACTTGAGAGTTTTTGTGACTGCCTTATAAGTAGTATATTTCGGGGTATCTTAATCAACCCAGTATCCGTCTTTCCTAAATAACACTTTTTTTTCTATCCGGGTTTTTCTTTCAAATATATCCTGTTACATTTGCTCTCCGCTGCCGGGCGAACGACGAGGGAATGGCAGAAAATGTAGAGCTCCAGAAGTTGGGGTGGCGCGGTTTTATAATCTAACCTTTACACAAAAACTAGATTACAATACAAAATTGGGATAAGAGTTGACCTTTAAGTAATTAGGATTGACAGAACGTTAGATCTATAATGGATTAATGGTATTTAATTAAGATGTGAATGTAGCAGTTCTATCACATAAAAATAAATGTGTAATACCCCCTGTACCATTAAAGCATTAGTCACGCACAGTATGCGTATGCAGTATATATTGTGTGGTATTATTTAATTGTCATATGAACTTTTGTCGTCACCACGTAGATTGAAAACGTAAACAATCTGAAAGACAAGCGTGAAAATTACAAAAAACAAAAACAAAACTCAGTGGGCAGCGTTGAATATTTTGCACTTCAATTGTCATATAAAGTAGATAGAAGAGGGAAAGCGTGATAATTACCTTATAACTGTTAAAGCGCTGTATAGCGCACTTTAAACACCTATAATTTTCGGTTAGATATAGTTAATTATTGATAAAACTTATATTACCTGATAAACATTTGGATAATAGTTTGTAGCTTGTTTACCGTGTTCCTTGGCAGTATAGTATATATCAGTTATGAATGTTAAAAACTGTTTAGAGTTAATGTATAGAAAAAAAATGATTAACATTATGACTATAATATTAGATCTGCTGTTTACAGTATAGTCCAGTTTGAAGTACTTCAAGTAGCAAAACAAAAAAAATGGCTGTCTACCCATGTACTCAACCCTAATCGAGTGGCGATTGTTAGTCTGCGGGGCCCTGTAGTCCATACACACTTCTGCTGGTGGCGATGACAATGGAAGATGACATCGTCCAGGAGATTCTCAAATTGGAGGAAGAGATGAGCATCGATGATACCCCGAGCACTAGCCAGTCCAGCACCATAAGCCCGGTAGTATTTTCCTCTCAACCTAATATCTGTGTACCAGGTACCTTTAGTAATTTGGGTCTTGATACAGAAAAACCTTCCAATTCGTGCCCACCAGGTGTGCCTCGAGGGACGAGTGCAGCTTCTGGGAACAGTCCTCAAGTAGCGGCCTTCTTGAAGGACAGACGAAGGAGAGAAATTCACAACTTCTTCGAGCGAAAACGACGATCCAACATCAATGACAGGGTGAAGGAACTTGCCGCGCTTCTGCCCAGGAGGAACGAGCCGTATTTTGAGGTTTTCCGTGATAGCCGGTGTAATACGGGACAGATCTTGAAGGCGTCAGCAGATTACATTAGGAGGCTTAAGATGGATGTAAACCGTAGCAAGAAGATGGAGGCTGAGCGGCGCACCTTGACACAAGAGAATCAGCAACTCCATAAGCGAGTGGAGGCGCTGGAGGCTAGGTTGTTGATCCGGGACGGCGACATAGAGGTGACAGTCACTCACCCAGATTCTGCTACCAGTTCTCGACAGGTCAAAGACGACACTACTGGCTCTTGAGTAACATCGATATGCGGCAGGTTAAGGGTGCTTAGAATAACGCGAAGTTTGAATTAAGTTATAGCTTTATTAATATATGAATTACTCTACATTGTGTCTACTAATCAACCAAATACATGTGAGAAGTGTATAAAGTAGAATTAATAACATTTTACTCATTTTGCTGTTGAAATATGTTGTCCATTGTTATACATGTAACTGTAATTAAAGTTTGTTTTTAAAGGATCTGATAGATTACAGAATATTTGAAAACATAAAAGTAAAATATGGAGATGGTGCAGTATAATCATTCTTCTTAGGCCACTACATACATACGATGTAGCATATGACAAGATATTTCTAAGTGTTGTAGGATACTTATTTAATTGCCTTATATACCGACCAGCATTGGGACGGCGTCATGTGAATTTATTTTTTGTCTTTAACTTTTAGAATGTACTCGCAAAACTTAAGCAAACTGCATTTGCCACAGCTTAAACGAATTGAAGTGGACGTTTGAAGTAACTATTAGTCCAGCGTATGGTGAAGCTCGCATAAATGTACGAGTAAAAAAATACATGGGTTAGAGGTCAGGGAAATTACGAAAGTTAATTAGTTGATTATGATAAGGGTTATTAGTTTGTAATCGGAGCACCTCCAGCTCACCCAGTTGTAAATGGGTACCTATATGTATACAGTAGCTTTATAGGTAAGCGAAGGCAGTCGAGAGAAGTGCTGGCGACATCTGCCTGTGTTCCCAAGGCTTAGTATTCCGTGTGCTGTATCCGCATACCAGGTAACAGGCTGTCAGGTCTGTAATTCTCTTACTTTCATCATTAATTTGCGAGATGTATTAAAAAAAAAAGAGCGCAGTCCACGAGGACCAAACATACATAATAATGTAAGGGAAAAAATCTTAAACACTATGTAAATCTACATAAGATTATTTAAAGATGAAAATGACTGTCTTTTTTTTAAGTGCAGGTTCGCAACGCATTAATTTTATATTATGGCATTTTAATGTGTTTAGAATGTTACATCTGAAATAGGAATGACATAATGCTAGGTCTGTACTATGTTTGCAGTATAGCTGCGAGTTTGAAGTTCTTCAAATAGATAAACATTAAATTGGCTGCCTTCACCAGACTCTTCCAACCCTAATCGAGCGGTGTTATCATACTGCGGGGTCCTGTAGCACATACACCTGTCTGACGATGGTGGAGGACATCGTCGAGATCCTCAAATTAGAGGAAGGGTTGGACATGTATGATGCTTTCGGGACAAGCCAGTACAACACCCTGACCCCAGGTCTATACAGGGTTTCTTTCGTGAGCTCTTGGACAAGTCCAATCGTAAGTGCCCCCCAGATGTGCCTCAAATGAAGAGCGGACCTATTGTTGGCGATCCTCAAGTAACTGCACTTACTTCAGGCAGGAACAGAAGGAGGAAAGAAATTCACAACTTGTTCGAACGAAGAAGAGCCAACATCAATGACAGGGTGAGGGAACTCTCCACTCTGTTGCCCAGGAGAAACGAACAATATTTTGTGTTAGCTCGTGGTCTTCGATATAACACTGGACAAATCCCGAAAGCTTTGGTAAATTATATATGGAGGCTTAAGGTGGATTTGGAGCACAGCAAGAAGGCGGAAATTGAATGAAGTGCCTGGAGGAAGAGAACGGAGGAACTAGAGGCGAGTCTGTGGTACCTCAGCAACGAGAGTGGTGAGACCAACGCCATCTTACTCTTGCTGCCAGCGCTACTCAAGCTAGAGATATTGAAGATATGAAGCAACTGCAATGTATTCACTAAGTAGCAAGGGGATGTTTTAAAGTTTGTTAATAACTGTTTCTGATAAATATATTAATTTCAAGTGGTTCACATCGCAAATACCTTTGAGTTTGTTAACTCAGTGAATTTACTAAATGTTAATTAATGAAACTGTACTGTAGTACCTCTGTCGTAAATTCACACCACTGGCAATGATGATCAGTTTAGATAACTGCGAGGTGTTTCAACACTATTGTACAAACTTAAAATATTGTAATTTATATCAAATAGGAACTTAATTGGTTATGAATGTTCATTAAAATTACAGTATTGCGGGATCTGATGAAAGAGTAAAATATCTATTGATGTAATCTCGTAATGTAGAATTCACATTTGTAGTTTAATCCACTTGTAATATCCAACAAAAAACTGGATCTTACACAAATTATGTTTTACCTCCTGTATCCATGAAATTATGTAGTATAAGTGAAAGGGTTTTCCTGTTTACTTATAATATTAGTAGTGATCATTGTATTTATTTTTACCGTGTTACATCATATAAATTATTACTTATTGTTAGTTACTACTGTTATCGCTAGAATTGTATTTTTTTTTCTTTCCACAACTTCATCGGTTGGGTAGTGCCGGTGGAAGTTAGTTGTACTGAGGATATGTATAATATTCCTTTTTGAGAATGTATGAGTTATATGGAAGAAGTACCAATGAAAGTTATAGTACAATGTTTCTGAAGGAAATGTGAATGGATGGATAAGCGTTGGAGTAAGAATAAATATATGTACCTGCAAAAGATATGTGATGGAGACAAACACAGCTGGTTAAGTGAGACCTGTGTACTGAGTATCTCAATAAAAGTTTATAACTATTGTATTACTAACCAACAATACACGCTTAAAGACCTTGATTGTTGAAGCGCGGTATTACATTATAACATCAAGAGCTGGTTACAAAATCGGTTCTTATTTAATGCAGTTATATTATTGCAGTAAAGATTAGACTACTATTTTACTAGATGGGGGGAAGGTGAATATTAAACTCTGGTATACGGTATATGCTATGTTAATGGTAGGGAATTGTAGTGGACACAAAAGGCATTCTGTTTCATGAAAAGATGCAAGTTTTAATTTTGTATATTTCCACAAAATAAATTTTGTCATAACATTCTCTTAATATCACTGTGCTTACTATAGTTTTTTTTTTTTTGCTGAAGATAATAGGCTATGGATACCCAATTCTGGCTCACTTTAATACTGAATTTTTTATGTATGTAAAGTCATAACTGCTTGAAAACATTAACAGGATACGCTGTGTTAGATATGAAATAGTCTTAGTGGGTGGAGGCTTTGTTTACAGGATGGTCACTGCCAATGACAGAATGATTTAATTCACATGTCATAATATAAGTTGAATGTTATATTACCTTTAATGTTATTAGTTGCATGTGTTGGCAGAAGAGTGAATGGAAGAGGATAGACTGTTTAAAATGTACTACAGTATATATTATATTTACAACTCGTTCATGTTTTTGTTTTTTATGTATTTATGTGATTCAAGAGCTAAGGTCATGATGCACATTCGCCGAGTTTTCACAAAAGACAACACGGATTACAGATTAAAAATATATAATTGTTCAACTTGTGTAATGTTTATATTTTTTATACATTGCATAATAAAGATAAAGCTGCAATATGGCTATGTAGCAAAAAAACATTACAGTGAAATAAGGAATATATGTTCTTGTATATGAAATAAAGAATCAAGCCTATGACTGAGATGGTGTTTATAGTTTCACCAATGAAGATAAACAATTAATTTTATATTCGTGTCTAAACCTCAAAGAGACATTCATCTATACTGTGTCCCAGGCATCAAGTAACCAAGGTAGTGTGGTCGCCAGTTACAGTTTTTAGTAAAAGAGGGGAGAAATAATATCAGTACAGTCATGATAACAAATATAATGGCCTCTGGTATCGTTGTTGTGTGGTGGCAATCTCGGGCATACATGTCCCAAATTTGTCTAAAGCAAAATTTCACACAATAAAGTGGGAAAGTGTCGAGTTGTGAAGGGTGAATCAGGGCGCTGAGGGCATGTTATGATGGTGAGTAGATTTTAGTTTTTTTAAGGCATGTTATGCTTGTTTTGTTTTGTGTGTGTGTATGTAATTTTTTACATTAGCTACTAATTAGGCAAAAGGGGGAGGTGGCATGTGTGGGGAACAGGAGGGCTGTGTAAGTCACATGAACATACTGTAAATAAGCTTGTCTTTTGTAAACAATTCTTAATTCCCTGTCCGCCCGCGGTCTGTTTGTGCGTATGAAATATTGCTGTCATCTGTAACGCGTACGTAACACTCACTTTTTTATCATGATTGTAGGTTACATTTTCTACATAGTTTGGTAATGAGCTGCTGGAACATAAAATTGTTTAATCAGTGCATGTAAAGTGTACTGGACTCTTACAACTTTGTGCCTTTATTATACTATACTTCCACTAATCTTTTATTTCTACGTAATTTTGTAATCACTGTAACTAATGAATATATTTCCACTTTGCCTTTTAACAGTGTACGAGTACATGTAATAACAATAGACATGTTGCCGTTCTCTGTGATATACTGTAATGCATTCTAATATATGATGTACCGGGCTTATAAGTGTAATAAAAAATAATAACGCCCTTTGTGTTATTGTCCCAGTCACGTGAGTTGAGTGCAATGACCAGTTGTTTAGCGGTCAGCTGGTAGGTTCTATAGTCTGGTGGTTGTGTTGAGGTCTCATGGTTGGCCCGTCGCCCACCTTAGACCTCCTACCACGCCTATTGCTGGCAAGTCTAACCCAGTAACCCACTGTGACACACTTCGGTTACTCTCCCGTGTAGTTTGTAAGTAGAAATAAGAATGTATTTATCGCATCCATAAGAATGTTTTAAATAATTTTGTGTATTGTGTTTTTAATTTGGGAGCAATATGTTATCAGGCTCTCACTCCCACTCTAGTCTGTTTAAATATACTCAGTAGTCAGCAACAATTGGTTTTAAGGTGACAGGTTTCGTGTTTCGCCTCCAGATAAACAACATTCACGAGAGCTCATTTCAAAGTCGTCAGGGACCTTACCAGAGTAAAACCTAATAATATTTTACAGTTCGACAAAGGATACAATACCTTCGTTTTCCTCTCCACAATTAATCAAGATTCTCTGAAGGACATGTTAAAGTCATCACAACATTTACTAACACAAACCTTAAAATTTTTTGCGTTCAACCAAAGTTTACTCATATCTATACCATTGATTCGACAATTTTTTCTAGGGGTATAGTTAAGGAGTCACACGCCTCGCAAGGATAAATAACAAACATCATTTTCCGAACATGACGTTATGTTTTGTCAGAAAGTAATTCAGACCTGTCGTTCGCCATTATATGTATATGGCTCGGCTTAAATTATTGTTTTTAAAAGATTGATTATATCTTTTGTGGTAAATAGCAGAACGTTTTGTCTCGTGGGCCATGCTTGTTAGTGAGCGATATCAACCAATCACAAGCCATCTATTATTTTATTATATTTTTTTGGTTGATGACAAGTGCTTGCCCTGATGTACAACTTCTTGACCATGAAAAATACACAATAAGATTAGACTAAAATACACTAGAAATAAAGGCCTTCGCGTTAAATGATCGCGTCTTAAATATTAGATGGATACTCTTCATAAAAAAAATTTAATTTGCATAGACAGATCATCAATAAAAGAACGTATAAACATGACAGATAACGTCCTTAATACCTGACAGGGATCGTTAATTAGAAGATAAAATGTTGACGGATAATCTTTGTAAAAAAAAAACGCAACTGTCTGGGAAACATTGACACACACTCACATACAAAACACTTGGCAATAAGAACTAGATCCCAAAATAACCGATTGCTCAACAGTTTGTGCTCTTTCATCTCATGGCGACCACACGTGAACAGTTTGAGTGAGACCCGCCAAAATAGACGCTGAAATTATACTTATTCTCGGGACAACGTTTGAGTGTCAGTTCTAAAGCCTCGTAACTCACAGTAAATATAGACCAGTAGACGGGAACGCTATTTGATGTACCGTAGTTACTCTGTATTTTGACACAGTTGAAAATTAAGATGAAATGGGCATTATGTCAACACGAGCTGACATACCAACGACAATTCTTTTCTATTACTGAACATTTTGTCGTATTCAAGAAAAATTACTTTATGATCATACCTAACTTGAAGCAACTTAGGTCCGATTATGGTGAAAATGCATGGTTAGTTAGGATGGGTTAGGTGAAAGTGTCTTATTAGGATGTGTTGGATGATGATGGCAACGAGCTATGATGAGTATGGTGACGGTAGATGGGGGTGGTGAGGGATTATTTTTGTGGGTCACGTAGAGATGCCCAGAAGTGCCACACCCTTGTGAGTCTGACAGCTATGACGCAACTCTCTCTCTCTCTCTCTCTCTCTCTCTCTCTGTCATATAATAGTATTTTTAGTTTACAAAGAGACTAAATATTGCCACTGTGTACCATTAACATAGTATACAGATAAAAGTATGCACGTAAACAGGTTAAAGCAACGGAACATTAGGAAATCCTATACTGTTGACATAGATAACATTGTTGAGGACATTTTTTAATATCGGTGTTACCAAGCGTTGGTCTATCCGGTACGACCTAAAAAAAAGAAACTTGCATAATATTTTTACTTCACAAATTCGTTATTTTGTTTAGTTTTACCAAATTAATGTTCCAGTCTTATTGTTACATGTTCATAGTGAAAATGATGCGAGCTTTGATTGATATTGATTCATTAAAAATAAGTAAAATAATAGCCTCGGGAAGTTAGGTTAGGTTAGGCTAGTCTTTACCCAAACTTATTCTAGCGACTATACAGACACAAGAACAGATACAGGGTACTAGTACAGGTCCGGAGATCTCAAAAGGATAACAGCACACACACACACACACACACACACAAGTAGAGATCGGGAGCTCTGATAAACATACCAGTTCCTGAAGTAGACAAACAAACAGCACTCAGCTTATCTCAGCTTAAAATTTCTCCTTATTTCCCTCTGTTCTTAAGGCCTTTGCTCTCTTCCCCTTTTATCATTCGTTCACTGTTGCCACGTTTATTGTTTTACGTCCGTTTTTTGTCTTTCTTTTTGCTCTTGTTTTGTATATTATTATTATTATTATTATTATTATTATTATTATTATTATTATTATTATTATTATTATTATTATTATCTTATTTTCCTTTTATTCCCTCTTCGTCTCTTATAGTTCTCATCTACTATTGCTCATAAGTAGCGCAGCCTCTCGCTAGTTCTCCTTCCCTCACTGTTCCATAAATAACTGTCCCCCCCCCCTACCCTTATTTCCCCCCGTTTGCTGTGACCAGTTTACCTTCTCCCTTGGGCTTCACTCTCCCTCGCTCCCTCCCTCCCTCCTGAAGACATCCCCAGCCCTCCACCCCATGTGTTAAGTTATCACTACTCTCCCTCACTCTGCCACGAGCACCTCATCCATCACGTGGTCTTCAGTCTCTCCCCTCCTCAGCCATTATCAACACTACCTTGGTTCTTGCCGACGGTGTGTTCAGGTTGTCAGGGGTTCATACGTCGATGGATATTCCTGTAATTGAAGATGTAAAAAAAAAGAAAAGCATGAACATAATTATGAGATTCTACCACACGTAGTAAATGCGTTTAGCTAACGTTCGTTCATTTTGTCTGGTTAAAAGTAATCGTGTCTAGTTTATGTATAGTCTCAGTATAATCTTGATGCTATTACGTGTTGTAGTTTAAGTTAATCAGTTAGATACATTTTCACATTTTCAGCTACGATGAATATTCACCTTAAGACCCTTTAAGAATCTTGACCTGGGGGGCCGGCACTTGCCGCCACTACGCCGGGCTTTATTTAGCTGGGTGACGCTGCCCTCACGTATCGCAGATGACCGCCTTCACTGCCTCTTATTTCCGTCCCTCAAATATTAAGTTTTTTTGTGACTCACCCACCATACGCCACACTGCATAGTTAATTATAAAGCTCTCCTGCACATCATAAGTGGCGCGTTTGGGCAAGGGTGAGGGGAAATAAACACTAATTGGCACCCTGGTTCTTGTTATAAAGCTGTCCCTTCTTTTGAGATGACCGCTCTTTTTTCCTCTTATTTCGACCCAACTCTCCTGGTGGTCCGTTGATGATCTCATCTTTGTGTACGACGCACCAAACAGATGATAATAACTCATCCAGCACCTGCTAATTAGTGCCAGGTAAACAGACAGGGCGGAAAGCGGCAAATAAAAATAATTCGGCAACTTGTCTCAGGAGGTATCACCCATTCCTGGGAGATGACCCTCCTCAGTCTGCTCTTATATTTCCATCCTTCACTTCTCGTGTTGTGTCATAATCTTATCTGAAAGTACGCCACACTATATATATATATATATATAGTTATAACTCCATCTAACACCTGGTAATTAGGTGTTTGAGTTGAGCGGATCGTGAGATAAACGCGCGGTGGCAACTGAGCCAGGACTTGGGGTAGGCTCTGGCAGACAGATTCGCCACGCGAGTCGACATAAGTTGTATTTACGTGGCCGCGGCCGCATCAATTATCACAGCCGCACCGTGCTACCGGCACCTTGCTGCAGTGATTAGGTGGGTGCTTCAGCCCTAACCCGCAAGGGGGCACGAACCCTGGTACAGTACTGTCAAGTCTCCGATGGGAAACTAACACCAGCAAAGGACTTGAAACATGCGTTCTGTTGATAATTTTCGAACTAATTATTTTGTTCTACAAATTAATTTAACGTGCAGTGACATTCATTCAACACTCGAAAGAAAAAATCAATTAAAGATCAATTCTTATGTCTGAGTGACGTTTTCGGAGGTTTATATATATTTGTGCTGTAAGTCAACAAATACCGGGTACATGAACAATTTGACACACATGATGTGATGCTTTGTGCGAGATGCTTCCCCCGTTGGCCTTGTCTGGTGTCATGGCTTGAAAGTGGAAAGTTGTGGTTTGTTCATGGTCGATCACCATTACTCCAGATGACAATTACAGATGTATTGTGAAGGTTTGCCTTGTCGTTACTCCCAGGTGGACCATAGCAAGTAAACTTTTCCTCAGTCTATCACCTGTTGTGTAATGGTGCCTTGGTATGCTTACGGTTCAGAAGTTTTATTCCGCATCATTTGGACACTATTTCACCTAAGATTAACCACCCTAATGTTACATTGGGGGGGAGGGGTAGGTTAGGTTAGAGTAGCGTTTGGGTGAAATTATTGAGGGGGCCAATCTTCTTCAGGTGATCCCCACAAAGACTTCAGACATGTTCAATTATCAAGGTGTGTTAGTTGAGGGATAATTTTAGTCGCATCAGCATGAAGTAAATGTTCTCAGTGATATAAAAGTCTTATGGTGTGACCTCCAACCTTGGCCCAGCGGGAGAGTTGTAATGGCGTGGTTAGATTAGGTTATTCGATCATCAGGTGACATAAAGGGGGGGGGGGTGCTAATCTTCATATGATCCCTTTCTTCTATTGTATATTTTCACACTGATTCATCTCTCTCTCTCTCTCTCTCTCCACCAAGGTATTTTGTACATTCTCAGACTACCACCACCATCTTAGCCGTTTTGTGTTGGCGGTGCCCATTGTCTGAACTGTATTACATTCAACACCCTCTCATACCGGATTCTTGGAGGTTCGTACGTTGAATTTTTCCTCGTAAGTCGGATAAAATAATACAAATAACAGTGATTTTAAGCCACACCTAACATTCCACTACTAGAGATTGTTAATGTACGGTAAACGTTATCTTAAAGCCAGTTGGGTGACGCCTGAGTAATAAGAGGTCAAAGGTTAAGGTCAAGTAAAGGATCACAGTGACTTGTAATTTATTGTTTGTCTTATATGACTTCTTAAATTATCTGCTTAGCATTTCAAGTTGTTTTAATTACCTGAAGAATCTCCACCTCAACTTATTTCACCTATAAAGATTAACTAACCACCTTTACACTGTTTGGGAGGGGGTGATTATATTACGTTAGCGTTAGGTGTTGTTAGGTTAGGTTAGCGTTAGTTGTTAGGTTAGGTTAGCGTTGGGTGAAGTTAATCTTTAGGTGAAGTAAACTGGGGTGGAGTTTCTTCGGGCCAGTGGGAGCGTATGGACCACTGTGGCTTACAAACAAACACTCAAATTATGTCTCTTCTGTCTCCTTCAAATTTGAGTTAAATATGGTAGAGTCTCGGTGAAGTGTCGGCTCCATTTTGGTTTTTGATTGGCTGTCAGGTCGTAGCTGAAGTGAACCAGTTATAATAATCAGTTACACTTAAGTGGTTTTATTGCGGGTGAAAAACATCGAGTAGTGACTGTGGAGAGTGAGAGAGAGAGTGGTGGAAAGTGAGGGTGAAAGCGGTGGAGAGTGAGGGAGAGAGTGGTCTGTCAGGGTGGTTTAGAACTAACAGGTACTTATAGAGAAGAGGATGTTGGTGGCTGGGACTGGTGTAAGATATTACTAACTACATCGCTTGGTTGATGAGAATTCCCCCGGTGTTTTTGAGGTGGTGGGAGGAGCCTACTTCACTACGGTGTGTGACGAGGATGTGGCACAGAGACTTAAGTGAGTCAGGGGGTGAGATAACATGTGACACCCACGACCTGGCTTACACACCTAGGCCCCAGGTGGTGGTGACCTCTGGCGCCAGGTGGAGCTGCCAGGTGGCGACAGTGGCGCCACAGTAGATGGGGTACACTGCAGGGCTCACCACCCTCTGCTCACCACATATAAACACACAGCCCGACGCTGCTGGCGTTCTTCATTTGTTGTGATACGAGTGTGTGTCGAGTCTTCACCACGGTCCTGACACTAATCCAGAAGATCCTCCACATCCTAAAGTCCCCAGGAGGGCCCCTGCAGCCTCCTGATCCAGGATGTGAGGATCGTTCTGGGGTGTTTGAGTTGACCCCTGGGGCCTCTTGGGCCTTCTGGGAGAACCTCACCTCCCGGGGCCGCAGCAGACAACCCACCAGGTCTGCTCCCCCACCACCTCGCTCATCCTCAACTGGTCGCGTGTGTCGAGGACCCCCGGAGAGTGTCAGAGCCTCCAGGTCCTTTTCCAACAGTCCCGTCTTCCGTCGGTGTGTGTGGGCGTCTCCCAGCCTGCCAGAGGCGCAACAGGAGGCTTCATCACTCTCACCGTGTGGTCGGCGAGGCTCCCCACCTTTTCTTGTGTATTACCTTGACGATAATCCCGATAGTTCACCTCCAGAAGTTTCTGATTTCCTCTCTGACGAATCCTCATCCTGCCCCAGGTCCTCCCCCGCCCTAGAAATGCCTCTGCCAGCCACCAAATCTCCGTCGGTGAGCTTCGACGTCCAGCCCAGGCCAGGACCCGAGGTATCTGTAGAGGGGGTTGTCGCAATAGCTGTAGAAGAATGATGCTGTGACTCCGCTTGGTCCAACAAACAGCTTAGTGCCGTGTGTTAGATGTAAACCTCCACACACTTCGCTCAGGACTTTGAGAGATAAAACTTGATTAATTGCTTCGTTAAACCCTTTCACTGTAGCACAACGAATACAGTTTAATCAAGTGTAATGACAAAAAGGAGGGCATCTAAGACCAGCATAATACACACCCTATCACCTCTGTGCATGGGGCCGACACACTCACCTATACGAAACTCTGCTTGTGACGTGTGTTTAATGCCTATACTCCCTTCCCAGTAGTAAAGGAGAACAGTCTTATGACTCTTGTAGCATTATTTTTAACCCCATATGTTATTAGTGGTTAAAGTTAGTTATGAAAGCTTGTCTTTACACGCTTACTCCCTTTACTGTTAACTAAGAGGAAGCAGCATTAGGGATCACCTGAAGATTAACCTCCCCACTTTATTTCACCTGATAATTAAACACCACCTATTCTACCTAAGTGAGGGGAGGGAGGGGGGTGGATTACGATGTTTAATCTTAAGGTGAAATAAACTGGGAATGGGAAATATTCAGTAGATTTAGTAATTTGTTTGATAGAAATAAAACCTTTATTTTTAGTGATGATGTTAGTCATTAGCGATGTCTTAATCATCCAGTGAGAAAGGTGGCAGGTTTTTTTTCCACTAGATTTTGGGGTAGGTGCTAACGGGAGGAAAGCCGTGTGATGCGAACTGTTATTGTCTAGTGTAAATGTGATAAATCTCTTGTAAGGTCTTTAAAATATTATTATTATTGTTATTATTATTATTATTATTATTATTATTATTATTATTATTATTATTATTATTATTATTATTATTATTATTATTATTATTATTATTATTACACCTTGTACTGTATCAAAAGGTAAGGGCTTTATGATACGGCTCTTAACATGAGTAAGTCTGGGGGGGGGGTTACTTGATTATGTACGTGTGAGGCGCGCGTGGTGGTCATATGCCTGGCAGTGTGATGTAAAGAGACGTGATGGTATGTGATAAAAAAAAACTCCCTCGTGTGAAGAAAAAAAAACTTTGTTACTCAGTTATTCAGGTAAGGCTGTATACCGGTTTATGTACAATACCCATATAGATACACCTAATTTACCGATATGGGAACACCTGCTTTACTAATATAGGAGCACCTAATTCACCGATATAGGAACACCTAATTCACCGATATAGCCACACCTGGTTCACCGATATAGCGACACCTGTCACTGAGGCAGAGAGCCAGGTGTAGGCTTGATTATGCGTTGAAGTCAAGTGCGTGCCAGTCGCCATTATGTGCGAAATAGGTCATCTGACTGTTGACTGTGGGAGGCTACTGACTGTCGTGGCTACTGACTGAGGGAGCTACTGACTGTCGCGGCCACTAACGATGAGGGGACTACTGGGGGAGGGGAAGTGGTGGGTAGCGAGGAGCCACGTGCCAGTAGAAAGGTATCACTAGGAAATACACAGAGGCTGACATCACTCCTGAGTTAACTCTTCCAATAGCTTGCTGGGAGGTGGGTGTGAGGGCAGGTAGGGTGGGCTAGGGTGTTAGGAGAGGTGGGGTGGGCTAGGGTGTGAGGGTAGGTAGGGTGGGCGAGTGTGAGGAGAGGTGGGGTGGGCGAGTGTGAGGAGAGGTGGGGTGGGTTAGGGTGTGAGGGTAGGTAGGATGGGCGAGGGTGTGAGAAGAGGTAGGATGGTCTAGTGTGAGGAGAGGTAGGATGGGCTAGTGTGAGGAGAGGTAGGATGGGCGAGGGTGTGAGGAGAGGTAGGATGGTCTAGTGTGAGGAGAGGTAGGATGGGCTAGTGTGAGGAGAGGTAGGATGGGCTAGTGTGAGGAGAGGTAGGATGGGCGAGGGTGTGAGGTTAGCTTGGTGATTAAAAGGTGTTTAAATAAGGTGTAACAGGTATTAAGAAGCCTACGGTATAAATACGATAAGGACACGTTTGAAGCACAAGGGAGAGATTAATAAAAACATAAATCACTTACTCCGGACCCTCGAAGGTGCAGCCGCTAGTTTACCTTTAATGTAAACGTTGGAACGCATCTAATTGGCTGACTAATAATAAAGCGATGAATTAAGTTAGCTGTTAAAATTTTATCTATGCCGTTCACCTCTCCTACAACCATATGATAAAGGCTGATACCGACAAGTTTGTTCTGAGTATGGCAGATGGCGGTATGGTTGTGTCAAAACGAAACGCGGGCGGTTTCATTAGTGTTTTTATGACTCCTATCTCCGTCGGTACGCTTCGATAAAGATTCCTCTTCTTGTCATTAACGTGATATTTTATCTGTGCTGGTAAGATTGATGTAAGTGTTTGTGTTTAGTCTTGTACCTCGCGTCACTCCCAGGAACTCAAGGTGTCAACATGGTGTGGGTTTTAATTAACTGAACTATAGTGTATTCGGAGTGTCCAGTTGTTAAAGTTCGATACCTAAGATATCTATTGTTTGTGTTTTATGTGAGTCACTCCGAATTTATATTACTAATATCAGATTCAGAAGTAACATTAGGAAGAGTCAGTGTTGTTTCGGGAAAGATACTTGAATGAATCTTAGGTGTGGCAGGGGTGCATCTGTACGGAATTTTTTTTTGAAATGAATTATTGGACCAAGAAAACATTTTGTTCCAACCTCCCATCGTCTTAATCCACCTGCTGATCCACCTCAAACCCTTATTGTTACTGATGCCGTATTAGTAAGATGGTGGTGAAAGTTACTGTGATATTCATACTGTATTCTTAATTTACCTCATTTCCCCGCGTTAGTCGCCTCTAGTTAGTCACCTAAAAGAACGCCTTCCTTGACTAAGAGAACCCCCCTTCCCCTCTCCTCTCTCCGTCTCCCGGCCTCCTCACAACACTCGCACCTAATCAAACACTTATCAGTCACTAGTGCAGGGATGGCCAGTTCTTGGTGGCCCTTGTTGTCTTAATCTTTTTTTTCTTAATATTTATGAGGTTTAAGTCATGACCATACACCTGGTTCTTGAGATCTTACAAGTTACATAAGGTGTTGGGATGTGTGTTGATGGTGGTGTTAAACAGAAGAAGACCTGCCTGTACACACACTGGTTTAGAAGCCCCTACGTGTCATATACTACTCAACTACATAATTCAACACACTGTAGAAGACACAACCACTGTAGTTTCATCTCTACATTAACTACATCATTATATATACATACATAAGAAAAAAAATAACCGGGTCACCACAATGATTTACAATACATGAAACCATACAGTACGTAAACCTTCTCTAGACATGTAAAATTAATTCCGGGTTGGGAACTTGGGTGGCATGTTAGGTGTCTGAAGGCTTGAGTCTCTCTCCTTCAAGGGCGGAGCGTGACCTTGGACTGACGTGTATCTCATTCCTGTGTGTATGTGTGTGTCATTAACCCCAAAGTACGTACGATAACAACTCATAATGGTGTACGATATTTTGTGCTTCTAAATGTATACAAGGAAACCGTATTCATATCTGCATGTAATCTTCGTAAGGTTAATTTTATTATTATTTCTGTTCGTTGTATTTTGTTATATTTGTTATTAATAATGGTAATGGTGGTATATATAGTGTAGTGCAGTATGTTGGTGTGATATTGTGATGGTATGGTGATGGTAGTGATGTTAATGGTGAAATTTCTTGGTGTTAGTGATGAGTGAGGGTGTGAATGGTGTTTGCTGGTGATGGTGTTATAGTGATGATGACCTGTTGGAAGGTGTGGTTCAGGTGTAGTGTGTGGTGCAGGTGTAGGGTGTGGTGCAGGTGTAGGGTGTGGTGCAGGTGTAGGGTGTAGTGCAGGTGTAGGGTGTGGTGTAGGTGTAGGGTGTGGTGCAGGTTTAGGGTGTGGTGCAGGTGTAGGGTGTGGTGCAGGTGTAGGGTGTGGTGCAGGTGTAGGGTGTGGTGCAGGTGTAGGGTGTGGTGCAGGGGTGTGGTGCAGTGTGTAGTGGTGGTGCAGGTGTGGGGTGTGGTGCAGGTGTGGGGTGTGGTGCAGGTGTATGGTGTGGTGCAGGTGTAGGGTGTGGTGCAGGTGTAGGGTGTGGTGCAGGTGTGGGGTGTGGTGCAGTGTGTGGGGTGTGGTGCAGGTGTAGGGTGTGGTGCAGGTGTAGGGTGTGGTGCAGGTGTGGGTGTGGTGCGGTGGTGCAGGTGGGGTGTGGTGGTGTGGGGTGTGGTGCAGGTGTGGGGTGTGGTGCAGGTGTGGTGTGGTGCAGTGTAGTGTGTGGTGCAGGTGTGGGGTGTGGCGCAGGAGGAGCTGGGTGGGTCGATAGCGCTCAGGTAAAACGACCTTGACATAGCTTTTTATACCTCCACCGGCCCCGTCCTGGAACCCACCTATCTCGTCTAGAACCCACCTATCTCGTCTAGAACCCACCTATCTCGTCTAGAACCCACCTATCCCGTCTAAAACTACTCCATCTTGCCCTAGAACCACCCTATAAAGCCTACCATCCAGCACTTTGTACCTGGTCCACTGTGTGTGTGTGTGTGTGTGTGTGTGTGTGTGTGTGTGTGTGTGTATATATGAATGTATGTTTGTATGTATGTATGTATGTTTGTTTGTATGTATGTATGTATGTATGTATGTATGTATGTATGTATGTATGTATGTATGTATGTATGTATGTATGGGGGGAGTTTAAAAGGGTAAAGAAAAGCTAGATTTTAAAGTATAATTTATTGTGTCACCTGAGCAAAACATAGATTTTTTTTTTTATAATTTCCTTGTTAAAAAACTTTCCAAATTTGTTGATTGTCATTGATAACCTTTATTTGTATACTGAGGAGCCCAGCTTCTTATGATATATATGGCTGTTGAATTATCTGAAGATTAGCCCCTCAGCTTAATTTACCTGAAGGTGAAATAAGCTGAGGGGGCTAATTAATCTTCAGGTGATCTCTTTTGTTTTATAGTGTGGTGACATATTTGAGCCCACACATAGTATATATATAACCCTTGTGTCACGGTGGTCACGTCCCGCCAGAGTGTACTGTCCCACGGCGTCCATCAGTCTCCGCTGCCCTCACCGCCCGGCTCCAGGACTTCCACGCCCACGGGTTATCGCACGCCCACCGGCTACCAGACCTCGGCCCCGTCCTCGCTAGAGGGCTCACCCATCCCACGCAGGAAGTGTCGCCCAACGAAAACCTCTACTTCTAGGAAGGAGGAGGACGCCGCGGAGATGGTGGAAGTAAGTGGGAGTGAGACGGGAAAAGGTGGACTCACTTGGCGGTCACGGAAGGAGGCTCCCAACCAGCGTGCGGTGCCTCCCTGGGCAGAGCCTGACGCTCAGCCACCCCCGCCGCCCTCACAACTCTATGCCAACCTCACACCGCCAACCTCACGCAGGACTATGAAGCCAGCCTCACCCCTCTCCTCGGCCACGGACACCAACCCCACGCCCAAACACTTCAACATACCGACGGCCGGAGCCAGCCCGGTCATGGTACGCAGGTCCCTCTTCCGCACAGAAAGCCCCGCCAGGGCCAAATCCGTTGACTCCCTTACCCGTTCAGTCCCCTGGGCTGAACGTAAGCTCCGGGCTACCCCAAGGACCGACTCGCCATCCAGGGCCGCGTCTAAGACCGAGGCACCGTCCTGGGCCATTCCAAGAACAGACGCACCAACTCAGCAGGCAGCCAGGACAGAGGGAGCACCCAGTTCAGCTCCAGCACAGCAAAAGGCAGCACCCAGTCCAGCACCCAGTTCCAGTCCAGCTTCACAGCAACGGGCAGCACCCAGTCCAGCTCCAGCACAGCAACAGGCAGCAACCAGTCCAGCTCCAGCACAGCAACAGCAGTACCCAGTCCAGCTCCAGCACAGCAACAGGCAGCACCCAGTCCAGCTCCAGCACAGCAACGGGCAGCACCCAGTCCAGCTCCAGCACCAACAGGCAGCACCCAGTCCAGCACAGCAACAGGCAGCACCCACAGCACAGCAACGGGCAGCACCCAGTCCAGCTCCAGCACAGCAACGGGCAGCACCCAGTCCAGCTCCAGCACAGCAACAGGCAGCACCCAGTCCAGCTCCAGCACAACAACAGGCAGCACAGTCCAGCTCCAGCACAGCAAGGCAGCACCCAGTCCAGCTCCGCACAGCAACGGGCAGCACCCAGTCCAGCTCCAGCACAGCAACAGGCAGCACCCAGTCCAGCTTCAGTACAGCAACGGGCAGCACCCAGTCCAGCTCCAGCACAGCAACAGGCAGCACCCAGTCCAGCTCCAGCACAGCAACAGGCAGCACCCAGTCCAGCTCCAGCACAGCAACGGGCAGCACCCAGTCCAGCTCCAGCACAGCAACGGGCAGCACCCAGTCCAGCTCCAGCACAGCAACAGGCAGCACCCAGTCCAGCTCCAGCACAGCAACAGGCAGCCAGGACAGAAAAACAACCCCAGTCGGTTCCCAAAATGTACACACCATCCCAGGCTACCCCCGGGAGGGACGTCCCGCTACAGAAAGGTTCTAGCAGCAAAGCGTCGTTTCGCAGTGAGGCCATGTCGTCTTCGTTCTCTCATGAGATGTCTGTGAGTGAGAAGGTAACGGTGTCATCGCGTCACCAAAGTGAGGTGATGACGCGCACCTCACACGCAACAACTGACTCATCAGCCACACAATGTACACCCCGGGACCCTCCATGGGGTGTTCATGGGGGACGAGACACCGGAGGTGGCACTCAGCCCCAGAGTAAGGCCGGGCAGGGTGCCAGTAAGGGTCAGGGAGCGCCTCGCCCACAGACCCATAGTCAGGCCACGGGCCAGATGACCCACCGCCCACACGGGAGCTCAGACGCGCCCCGGCACTCACCCGGGATGATGGTCAGCGCCAAAGCTGCTACCGAGGGTCAATCCGCCCCTGGGAACTTAACACAGGAGCAGAGTTCTCCCACACCCTGGCGTAAAACTGTCAGCCAAGTGGCGGGTGCCAAGGCCGCCCCCTCCCAGCAGCCATCACACAAGGATGATGCCAGTGTTGCTTCTGGTAGTGCAGAACCCAGCGCTGCCTCTCCTGCTTCTAGAGAGGGACAAGTGCCCAATCAGACCCTTCATCAGGGGCCCCAACAAGCCCCTTGGAGAAGAACGACAGGTACCGTGGAACAAGCGCCTGCTGTCACGCAGGCCAGCCCAGAACCTAATAAGTCAGAACCTAATAAGTCTCACGTGACGGGGAGTGATAAGCACAAAAAGGAAACTGTCTTGCAGGCAAGCAGCGCCGCTCAGGTGGCCGATTCTCAGCCCAGCTGGCGCAAACAGAACTACAAGAGCCGCCAAGCAGCAGCATCAACTGCTGCTGCTGCGCCTACTCAGCCTCCTGCATCCACTACCCCTCTGGGCAAAACTTCCCAACAAGTCACTGTCACGCCTGCCTCCAATGCTACCACTGTAAACAAATCTATTGTCACTGCTCCTGCAGGAAAATCCACATCGCTTACCCCTGCTGTACACAAACCTGCCTCTCCTGTCCCTTCAGCTGCAGACAAGCCTGCCTCTCCTGTCCCACCAGCTGCAAACAAACCTGCCTCTCCTGTTCCTCCTGCAAACAAGCCTGTCTCTCCTGCAAACAAACCTGTCTCTCCTACCCCTCCTGCAAACAAGCCTGTCTCTCCTGTCCCTCCTGCAAACAAACCTGTTTCTCCTGTCCCTCCTGCAAACAAGCCTGCCTTTCCACTCTCTATCACTACAAGCAAACTTGGATCTCCTGTCCATGTGCTAAGCAAATCCGTTACTTCTCTCCCTGCTGCTACCAGTCCAATCCCCACTGCGGTCAGCCCTGTCCCTATTGCAATCGGTCCTGCCCCTGTAGTGCCAAGTGCCGGAGGCCTTCCCATATCAGCACCAAGTCCGCCTCAAGTCAGCGGGGCGGCGGAGACCCTGGAGGTGGCCGCAGCTGAGGCCCAAGTTTGTGGCAACATAGAAGCCAGGCGGGCCACCAGCCAGCCGCTAGCACCTCCCCACACCACCACCCACTCACCAACACCGCCCCTCCCACCCAAACAAACCGCCGCAGCCATCGTCAGCGCCCCGACAGTGCCACAAGCTCCCAAACCAGCAGTCAGTCCCGTACAGCCCATTCCGTCCGCTCCTGTAACTGTACAGCCATCCTTGGCAGCACAGCCAACCCTAGCCCCTGCATCTGGGTTGTTAACAGTTGCACCAACACCTACTACAGCCCTGATTGCCTCATGTGTGACAGAGACCAGTCCAAGTGAGATCGCGGCCACAACTGTCACCACACCACAACACGCCATGCCAATCCCAACACCACCACCAGTGCCAGACGCTAAATTTCTGAAAAGTGGAGGCCAGATATTAACCTCATCCTCTGTGACTGCCACCCAAGGAATAAGTCCTGCTACTGCCCAGAAACACACGGCCATATCTAGTCAACTAGAAGAATCACCCAAGGAACCGGCAACAGGGATGAAGCCCCCGCAGCCTGAATTCCCGCCTCCACCTCCCGTGGATCAAATTGAAGTGCTTCCAGGATCTAGTGAACTTGACCCCGGGCTTCCACCACCCCCAAGTTTCACACAGGAGGAAAGAGCTGCCTCGTCCTTGGGGATCACGACGCGGCTTCAAGATCTGGTTGAACAAGAAGGGGAGAATTTACCCTCGCCTGAGTACGTGCGAGAGTCGGTAACGAAACGCATCAAGGCCTTCGAAAAGCAGGCGTCTAAAGAAGAGGAACCTCCTATAGTTGAACGTCAAGTGCCTGTTGCTAGACCCGTGGCACCCTGGGTGAAGAAAACTTCCTCGGGACTCGTCCACCAGGATCGGTACTGGGATATGACCTCCCCAGAAGAGCCTGACGTCATCTGGCCATCACCTCCTCCACCGCAGCAGAAAGAAACCGAAAGAACGAAATCACCCTCGATTCCCGCTCCGTCCAGCTCACCCCTGAAGGTATCGTGTGGCCCTCCTGAACCCCATATACACACACACACACACACACACACACTTCTCTTGTCATGTACTCTTTTCCTCCTCCACTTAATAACCCCTAAATTGTTGTCTTTGGCATCGTTGACAGAATGAACTAACCTCAAAACAGCGACTGTGTATCTGAAACCAGGAGGACTCAAGTGCACCAACTAAAAGAGTTCATCATTACTATAACGTGTGCTAACCCTGTTGTATAAAGTCCTGATGTGTGTTATATAAGCAGTGTAGCAGTAATGAATGTAAACTAATGGCAAATAACGACTCCTCTCTGAACTGTTTACTTACGATGTGTATTAACGAGCAAGATATATTTTAATGGTGTGAATTATTTTGTGGTGATCCTTTTGTATATTGTGATTTTTTTATTTTGTGTGTACATATGAAGGTGACTCCTGCAGTGTGTTACTTGTTTGTTTATTCTGGATATATATATATATATGTATATACAGTATATATATATATATATATATATATATATATATATATATATATATATATATATATATATATATATATATATATATATATATATATATATATATATATACATGTATTTATTTATTTTCTTTGTCTCAGAATATCCTTGCTTACAGTGTTATTAGAGTGTTGCATGTTTAAAGCCTGTGACGTTAACAATATATCGATCGAAAGTGTTACGGTGTGACGCTAGTTGGTGTGATACAAGTCTCTCTCTCTCTCTTTCTTAACTTGTGTTGGGTAGTTTTAGTTACAAAGCTCCACTCATTCTCCCTCTGTTATTAATTTATTTATTTTTTTGGTCTCTAAGAGCTGCGCAGTAAACTACAAACTTATTGGCTATGAAATATTTATTAGTTACTTTACCTCGTCCTTGTTGTATTGCTCCTTCCTTAGCGTCTGTTTACATATAATCCAAGCTCAGGTTAATCCAGTTTAGTCGATGTGATTATAGCTGGAGTTGTGTGTGGATTACTATGCATTGTGTCCGAACTAATTTCTGGAAAATCTGAGACTTCACCAGTGGAGAAAAAAATTACTCTTGGAACCAAATTACATTAACTTTAAACTTTGGTGCTTACGGAAGGGTGAATCAAGGAACAGTTTGAGATCTTTCCAAGACGGATCTCAAACACTTATTCCTTCAAAGTTTTCACAGGGATGAGAAACAATTGCAGCAGATATAATTTGGTACCGTAAAGAGATTTTTTTCCTATCGAGTAAATATTTAATGTATTTTTGAGTGGATACATTCTCTCAGGAGATGGTGTAGTGATGAGGGTGACACCTACGTAACATCCCTCCCAGGTGAGATGTGACCTGCTGTGACCTTGCTACAGTAATATGCTTTCCCTCTCTTCCGCAGGCACCCTCGGCCATCCCCGTAGCTCCCCCACCCAAGGCTGCCGCTCCAGCAGTGACACCGGGGCCAAAGGTCAGCCCCCTCCCCGTGACCGCCTCTAAGGTTGTCCCCCCACGCGTTCGACCCCGCCTACCCCGGGAGAGGTCCGTCTCCGTCGGCGATTACCACGCCCACTACATCACCCCCGACGGTAAGTCAAGGATTATAATATAGTGCATGGTCAAGGATCAGATATGCCTCACGATGGACATTAACCACACCACACTCAACACACCACAACACTCTTCCATACACCTTAATACACATCACACTACCACAGACACAGACACACACACACACACCACATTCCGACGCTGCTATATTAAAGCACTGCCTTAACCAACAGTCTGTCACTGGAGCACAAAAACAGAATTAACGTCAGTTCCTGTATAAGAGTAAGTGGGTGGCGGAGGGAAGGAGAGTAGGGGGTAGGTGGAGGGAAGGAAGGTGGTAGAGGCAGGTGAGAAGGAAAGCAGCCCTCCTGACACTGGTTATGGGCTTCAGTATCCCTCTCCCCCTCGCGTCTACCGACAGACATGGTGAGAAACCAGGGATGGAATACGCTTGGCTTGGGCACACATACCACACCTCCACCACTACCCTACATACCACACACACACACACACACACACATGTACGTATTTACTGGGAGGCGTCAACCAAGTTGTGTCGGGGAATATTAATGGTTTGCTCTTCTTTAACGAGATCATTAATTTTTCTCCTGTTACCACTGAGGTGACGACACTGCGTCAAAAATGATCGCACTGATAATCAAATCAGCCCTAATGAACGTAGCCTAGCCATTTAAGATAAGTTCCTTGGACCTCGGGGACCGTTAGGGGCAGTATGGATGCAGCACCTGTGATTATACTTCTCGACCATAGTAACCACACTTCATCTCCCTTCACGCACTCTCGAACCGGTATTCCCACTTTTCGGTCATAATACGCTCATATCTTAACGCAAGATATTAACTACATAAAATTAGGAAAGTAATGATTAGTGATTTTGTTTCGGCAGACCGGCAGTACTAACTCGTGTGGCTCTGGGAAAAAATTTTGATGATTGAAAAGGAGACTTGACCAACACTGGAGTAGGTTCAGGTACATTCAGGAGCCGGTGCATGCCCAGTACTTGCCAGCAGTGCGTAACAGAGACGTGACCGATCGCCCAAGCGGCTAACGAGCCGATCAGTGGTGAGGAGGATAAAAGTACAAGTAAGAGATAACCAAGGTTAAAACTGCTAAGAGTGTAGAATTAGTCTGGCAATTTTCCAACGTAACGAACATTCACCCTGCAGATAACTAGCAAAAAAGTTCTTTTTCTGGTTGTGACGCTTCCACGGCCAAATGGCAACAGCAACCGACTAAGTTGAGACTTGGGATAGCACTTGTGTTTCGTAACGAGAGTAACCCGTCCGCATTCGTACAACTAATTATCATTGAGACACAATTAAAATTTAATTGCAAACTTGACGCATTGCACGTGATATTACAGTGATATAGTAGCACCCCATAATCAAGTTCGTGCCTTTGCTTATCTTTTTGTTTGCCACACTGAGCAATGACGAGCCAGCGGCGCCACTTTGACTTTGGAAGATGGGTTGTAGTACGGTTTTCCGTAATTAATAAGTCCCATAACCAAGCCTAACCTATAGCAATTCATTTTTGTTTAGGGTGTGAGTGCAGGACGACCACTCATTCGTAGTTCAATACAAGTAAACAAAGCACTGGGTCATTGACATTAAACTTCCGGTTTCCATCAGCAGGCGTGGTGTCTTGATCAACAAATATTACGATGTCATTTGTAATGTGAAGATTAAAACATTCTGGTGCAAAAGGTATGGAACAAATATTACGCTTTACTTACTTGAAACTCCAGAGATCTTTTCTTTTACATGCTTCTATCCATTTTCTTGTAAGCTTGGCACTCCGTGGAAATCTATGAAAATACAGTAACTAACAAAAATAAGACGAATTTCTTCTATGGCAATTTCTGCGCTGACGAGAAATAACGGAGATATGGCGAGTTAAAAAAAAACTACAACATTCACTCGAAGAGCTCTGTTCTCGGCAATAGGTAAACAATTAACTGAGGAGAATGGTGCATTATGGGTTTTGTGGTGCCCGGACTCGACAACTGGCTGTTAGTACCAGAAATGAAGGTCAGATTAGTTAGAACCACAGCAAGAACCATAGGAAAAAAAATATGGAAAAATCGAAACCTGGCTACTATCATAAATTGACCAAACCTTTTCTTATTCTTACACCGAACCCTTCGAGAAGCTTCTGCACAAGCTACCATTGTTAAAAAAATGTATGAACTTGATCACTTTAAGAATCGCGCCTTCACTGTTGACAAGATGACCAATGGAAAAGCCAAGTGACGTCACCTTAGTTGACCCCTCAGCACGCAGAACGAGTCGCTGAGTTGTCATTAATTTTCTTTATTTTGTACCATGCCTGGTTTGCCCAGGAGACTTTACCTTCGTTCTCACTCATAAACAGTATATAATAATCATTACTCATACAAATCAGTGGAATAACTTACTCTTAATGATGATTATATAGTGTTACGATTTCTTTTAACTTTTAACCTGCAGAACTTCCGCTTGTCAAGATGCCTGCTGAAGGTGCCACAACTGACTCCTCCCCTGAACATGGAAAAACTGCCCCAGTTAAAGGTGATCCTCCATTTGACCCATGGTGTGACCCCAAGAATCCTAGGGTCATTAGCTTCCAGGTTTGTCCCCCCAAAATTATTATTTCAATAGCAAGTAGGATTTGTTGAGATACCTGCCTCTCTATCCACCGCGTTTCTCTCAAATGTCAATTATTTTGGGTAAAAAAAATATTAACATTTTATTTGTTTTTGCATGTTTGTAAGTCCTAGGTTATATGCATGTACAGTATATAACTAGTTATAAATAGAAACTGGACAGTGGCATATATAAGTTTCTGGAGGGGAGGGGGGCAAGATTTGAAGATGGGCCACTATTTTATTTCTTTCCAAGGGTGTAAACAGGGAGTGAGCCCATACATCTGGGGTGTCACTGTTTAACTCCCCCCCCCCCCATTTTTTTTTATTGACCAATTTCAAGTACTTTTTGAGGCCATATGCAATGAATAATAGCGACATATTTTATGGATACTATTAGTACAGTACTTTTGTTAGAGGCTTTCTCCCCAGACTATAGGCCTGAATTAATGTTTAATTCCTTATTTCCTTGGGAACTGGTTAAGTTGGGTTGACAGTTGAGGGCAATTGCAAGAAAGGGGGTGGGGCATGGCCACTTGGCTCCCTATATATGCCACTGATGAAACTTTTCGAATTAAAAATAGCAAAAAAAAAATATTGTAAATTGCCCAGCATTATACATACAACTGTACAATATGGCACTTAGCGTGTTCAGAATCACCCTTTGAAGTACTATTACTAGGACATCCATTTAATGAAAACTGATCGAAATGCCTGTTTGTGATTAGAAACTTTTCATGCCATGGTCAGTTGTGGACAAAATTCCCTGGACTTGGCAGTATCTAGCGTGCAAGTACAGTACCCTGTACTTGAGGATCATTAGGTGAAGGGGATAGTAATTTGAACACGTTTTTTTTTGTGGTTGTGACATAATAAGCTATAAAAATGAGTATTATTATATATAAACCAATTTATTTATGACCCAGAAGTACATGCTAGATATTGACAAGCGTTCAGGGAATTTTTCTGAAACTATACATTAGATTTATGACTTGATAGGCTGTATGTATAATAAGAAAACTGTCTTGGATGAACAGGTTATGTAAGAACAACTTAAAGGTCACAACAGTTAAATCTTTGACATAACATTCCAAAGAGTCACCACAGTCTGTCTTTCCATGGTTCAGGATGTGAGTGCTGCTGCCTTCAAGATCAAATCTGGGATCATGAACACTCCATGTACCAAGTCCCACATGTCCAGCTTCACTGACATGGAAATATTCTTCAAGAAAGAGTTCAACCAGTACACTGGCAGCTTTAAGGTTAGTATATCCATTAATTGTATCTTGAGGTGGCAGAGATAAGCAGTTGCTCGAAAGAATATGGCCAAATTTATTCATGAAAGCACTCATGAAGAAATAACTTGGCACCTAGTCTTTCACTGATGTTCTTTTCTACTTATTTATTCTTATGGTTTTATGTAATCTCCTTGTCTATCTAGCCTAAACAACAATCATACTTTGAAATGCTTTTATTTTACATTGTAAGTACATGTTAAGTGTTTCTGCAGAATTTGTTAACATTTTCTGAGGAGATGTTTATTGGTAAATATCTTTTGGGAAGATTACATGGTATGTACATGCTTAAGTGTCGCTTTCCAGGTCATATCAAGCGACTATACTAGTAGGTCTTATAAGAAGAGCATTCACACATCTAGATGGTGCGACCCTCATAATGCTCCTCAAAAGTGAGGTGCTTCCCCTTTTGCAGTACATGTACTATCACTCCAGTCTGGTCCCTGAAATATGCTAGAGACTGTCTAGTTTATTGAAAATGACCAAAGGAGGTCCACCAAATAGGTACATTCCCAATGACATTTCAGTTACCCAGAGAAATTAGAATGTCTGCAGTTGCCTAGTTTATATTATAGGCAGGCAAGGGGTGACAATAGAAATCTACTATAAACACCTCCGAGCTCATTACACAGTCGAGTGTTCATACCTAGAGCTGGCAGATGCCTGCCCCACAAGGGGTCACAGCTTAAGGTTAAAGAAGCCACAGGTTCAGAAAATTGTCATTGGAATTTTTTTTGAAATGAGAGTTGTGAACTCTTGGAACACCCTGCCGGAGACTAATTGTGAGAGCACTGAGTGTAAGCTCATTCAAGACCAAACTTAACCAACACTGGCACAGGTATGGATACATTCTGGAACCAGTACATGCCCAATACTTGCCAACAGTAGTGTGAAACAGAGTTGTGATCAACCACCAAAGTGGATAAAAAGCCAACAAATGGCAGAGGATAAACTGAAGTAAAATATGTGGCACTGGAACCTATGACTGTGCATGTAGCAGTACGGTATATGTTGACATATAGTATCAATAACTTCATTACTTTTCATATTTTTTTAGGAGCGTGGAGCTAGGTACACACTCTTGATGTTGTCAGAGGAACAACAGAAGAAGGGAGTCATTGCTGCTTCAGCAGGCAACCATGCTCTTGCCCTTTCCTACCATGGCCAAGACCTGGGCATTCCCGTCACAGTGGTGAGTTACATATACTGTACTTATTAGTTTTTCCATGTTTATTTGATTTTCAGAGTTCACACTCAGAACTATAGGTTCTGTAGAAAGAATTATTGACTTTGTGTGTGTGTGTGTATGTGTGTGAAGTTTCATTTTAAGTTGTAGAGGCAGATTAAACAAAGAACTTGACCAATTTAATCTATTTTAGTGCTGTATGTATAGGTATTTTGACCTAGAAATGAACAGTCGTATTATTTATCTTTTCATCTTCCTTACCTGGCTATAACATGTGTATTTTCTTTGTACTTTACACATATTTTATATGAAACTACTATACTGTTCTGTATGTAAAAATTGTATTGCCATATTTGCAAAACTATCCAGCTTTACAATACTGTACTGTACCTTCTTGCAATAGGGTAAAAATAATCTAATACAGTACAGTACATGTTATCAATACTTTTTACATATGTTAAAGTAAATAAATCATCCTTACAAAGTACTCAGGCTTCTGAATGCCTTTGTTCAGGTGATGCCCCTGGTGGCTCCCATCATGAAGGTGCAGGCCTGCAGGCAGTATGGTGCCAACATCATCGTTAAGGGGAATGACATCGGTGAATGTCGCGAGTATGCCCTCAAGATTGCCCAGGAGCAGGGTCTCCTCTACATAAATGGGTAGGTGTAACCACATCAGTTTGTAGTCATCATGAAGTCACTTATTATTTAGGTCACATGTACCAATAGGTTAGATAGCATGGATAAACAATGGTTATACAGTATTGGTTAAAATTTGAATTGTGAGCAGATCAACTGTGGCCAGATGGGAGTTACAAACACCAATACCTATGACATCTTGTCAGGTATGACTAGATTTTCTCTATTTGTTACAGTTGATGGAAAAGGTTAAGATAAGTTCACCATCATATACAGGACAGAGTGATAAGACATTTTTTATACAGCATTTTAAATTGCTTAATTGTAAGTACTGTACAGTATTGTGGTAGTGGAAGGTGAATGCCATCATGCTGCCTCCTAATCTTTCAGTGCCCAGTATATTAGTTGTTAATATATAGTACTGTATTGATTATAAGTGTTCAGACCATAAAAGTTTATGTGTTGCTCTCAGAGTGCACATCCTTTTATAGTGAAGTGTCACAATTAGTCAGTGTTTATACAGTGGTGACCTAATTTCTTGGCCTTGATAGTGTATATAACTGATGAGTAAACTAGTTGGCTCACCTCACTATATTTTACAAATTTGGTGATGACTATTTACATGACTCATTAGCCGACTGTGGCCAACCTCCAACCATTGCAGGAAGCTAATCAATTTGTATTATAGATGCACCTCATCATCAGATTTTATTATATGGTCTGTATAATATTTTATTTTATTGAAAATTATCATATACTGTACTGTAGCTAATAGTTACCTGAAAACAAACATTTGTAGGTGGACACCAAGTAAAATAAAAGAATTCAACATTGTGGCTGCTTTAGTCATGGCACTTGATATTAACTGGGGATGTAAGAATCTAAAGGTTAATATTTGCACAGAGACTGTGTGGACATGGCTGTAAATAAACTTTTTGTGATATTCTTTACTCGGTACTTTTACAATAATTTATCCCTTTTTTTTTATTGTTATCCTTTTAGGTTTCTTAAGACAAAACATTTTCACATCTCTCTCCCACCTCGAAGGATGAAATTATTCCTTAATATTTTTTATATGACAGACACTTGAATGTTAAAAAGAAATTAAAGAAAGATAGGAAGGGGAGAGGATACGACAGCACAGCACAGAGGTGAGTTACTATTTTCCACCACTTTAGTTTGCTCTATTTGCTCCTACAGATATGACCATCCACACATCCTGGCAGGTCAAGGCACCATGGGGCTAGAGATAGTGGAGCAGGTGCCTAACATTGATGCTGTGGTTATTCCAGTTGGTGGTGGTGGCCTTATTGCTGGTGTGGCACTGGCTGTCAAGGCTCTTTATCCACACGTCCAAGTCATTGTAAGTGTCAGCCTTGCAATAGTCATTAGAAGGTACAAGATTAGGATTTACAATTAAATCAGTTTTATTCATTGGCTTCAATGAAACACACTAGGCCAACTCTTCTTATTAAAGGTGAATGAGAGGCTTTTTTGCAAATGGTAAATGCCATCATGCTGTCTCCTGTTTCTTCAGTGCCCAGGATATTGTTCCTCTCACTGAAGTTCCCAATGAGGCTTTATTAGTAGAGTAAAAGTATTAGGCAATCTTTGAATAATAATTATGAAAAAAAAAAAAATAAATAAAAAAATAAAATAAGCTTTAGAAATTTGTATTAGCAAACCTCATTTGTGTGTCTGGCTTGGTAGGGTGTGGAATCAGAAAAATGTGCCAGCTTCAGTGCTGCCATGAAGGCTGGAAGACCTGTTTATGTGAAAGCCGAGTCCACACTGGCTGATGGTTTGGCTGTTCCCATGGTTGGCATCAATGCCTTTGCTACTGCTTCCAAGCTGGTCGATAAGGTGAGTTAAGGTGGTAATGTACAAGAGTGATGGGTCACAATGCCAGATAATTTTACAGTGAAATGTCTTAATTCCTTGTACAGTACATTTTAGTTGCATTTGTAACTACGGTACAGTATTGTACATGTTCTCTGATATCATATACAGTATTTATCTGATTCATATATCTGCCATGGAATAAAATTTTTACATCATAAGGTTGTGACAGTGAGGGAGGAATGGATAGCCATCTCCATCTTACGCTTAGTTGAGTGTGAGAAAGCAGTTGTTGAGGGTGCAGGAGCCACAGCCCTTGCTGCTATTCTTGCTGGGGAACTGCCGGAACTCAAGGGAAAGAGGTAAATCTCAATAATAAATCTGCAATTACACAATGTGAAGCAATATTACTGAGCACTCAGTGTTTCATTACAGTATTATCTATTTGTAGATGGGCAACTTGTAAATGTAATGTTTATTTTCTTTTCACTTACTATTATGCAATACCTTTTAGGATATAATCATGACTAGCAGTGGCAGTGTCACTTTAACAACTCATAGACTCAAGTTAGATTTAAGAGGTAGCGTAATTTTGTCTACATGAAAGTTACTTTAAAAAAATGGATAGTTCCCTCCATAAGAATTCTACAACCAATTCTATAATATAACATAGATGGTTATTCATTGAGTCCTATTAACTTCAATCTTACCTACTTCTATCCCAGAGTGGTGATCCCCCTGTGTGGAGGCAACATTGACACAACAGTATTGGGTCGCTGTTTGGAGCGTGGTCTTGCCGCAGATGGCCGTCTTGTCAAGTTCACTGTCACTGTCAGTGATAGACCCGGAGGTTAGTATAATGAGCATGAGGGAAGCAGAAAAGATGGTCGATTGTCATATATAAGACAGAATTGGTAGTTAGCAAGTTAAATAGTCAGACTGGAATATAATTAGAGTATAGTATTTAGCATGAAGGGTAGCTCTTAAATTTTAATAAATTAACTAAAAACAGGAATCTTAGTAAGGGAATGTTAACTTTGAAGATGATGAATGAAACTGATTTTGTAGTACTGTATATCCTACCTTAAATTTGCTATACAGTACCTTTACATATCTTTATGAACTTTAGCAAGTATTCCACAACTGTGATTACAAATGTTACTCATAACAATACATCTCTGCTTTGTCAGATTTAACATTAAACTAATTTGTAGGATTAAATTAAGTCTCACTTTTGTGTCTCAGGAATCGCTGAGTTAACACGGCTGTTGGCAAACCTGGGCGTCTCCATTAAGGATATGGTTCATGAAAGAGCGTGGATCAGGAGTGACATCTTCAGTGTAGAGGTAAAGTAATATGAGAAGGTGTACAGGATGAATGTATGTTGAGGTTGAGTAAAGAGTGTGATTAAGCACCCAGTAATCACTGATCTGAAATTAATGAATTTGGAGGCATTGCTGGTATGAATTTTAATGGGTACCAGAAACTAAAGAAAAGACATGCTTTGAACAATGTTAGAGTAACTTATATACTGTACAATACAATATTACTCAAAATAATTTTAATGTTGTCAGTATGAAAACATAATGAGAGTCTTGAGACTGCATCATTAGCATCGAGATGTACCTGAGTTTGTCTGAAGACATAAATTGTGGAAGCACATTGTCATCTGTTTTGAATTCAGATGTTAGATGGGATTGTATTTTAATTAATTACCAGATTTCACCTTTTTGGAGTAACTGAAAATCACCTGAAAGAACATTCCTCAGTCAAATGTACATATGTGGAGTTAGTGGATGGGTGCTTCACCTGAGGTCACAGCTTTAATTTAAAGATGCTATTTGGAGAGAAAACTGACAGTGCAAACTTCTTCAGAGTAAGAGTTGTGAACACTTTTAATAACCTGCCTAGGAATGAGCTCTAAACATTCAATAGCCTGTGCAAGCCCAGTACTTGCCAGCAATGAGTAAGAGAGAACTGACAGGCCACCTGACTGACGAGTAAGCTGACAGTTGCCAAAAAGGATAGAGGAAACTAAATAAAGAAAATGTCAGTTGCATTGAGGCACAAAAACAATGTTGTTATTAGTGGTCTTGTTAATCAGGCAAAAAGATACTAAACTAATAAAAGAGTAGTTTCCTACTAGATAGTTCTGTTTTGATTACAGTATTAAGGTGAATCCATTTTTTTAGACCTGGACTAAAAGAGTGGGGTGATATGGCAATTATATTGGCTACAGGTGTGTGCAGCACGTCTTCTCCACTAGTGGGCAATTTTGTGTTGACCTCCTCAACAAGTCCTAATTGTATTAGTAAGATATTTGTTGCACAGTACTGAACTTAAATAGGATACCTGTACAGTATTATTGTTTAAGCTGCCCTCAGAGTTTGTGGAGGATTCATTTTACTGAACAAGTTATGCTCATTGAAATTTAAAAGGTCAGGTGTTTCTCTTTGTGTCAAGGGCATGTGCTGTTATACCAGCTACTTGTGTTTAAACTTGAAAATGTAGGTTTGTTTGTTACTGTCTTTGTTCATTAAACATTACTTCATATGAACAGAATAGATTTTTAGTTAGTATCCAGCTTTTGTAATACAGTAGAATGTATTGCATTAAAGTCATTACAGTTAGTGACTGGTGTGCATGTGAGTGTAAAACAGATATTATTTTTTCTGCAGCAAATTATGGAAGTTTAACTCTGATCTAAATAATCATAAGGGTAATACTGTACCTTTTATCTTTATGTTATGAAACATGAAGTTAGAGAAGTACAGTACAGTGAACAAAGTTCAATTAAATACCAAAAGTATAAGATCTTGCCTGCATGAAATGCAGGAAAGCTTATGCCAAACCTCAGTGTCATAGTCATTGTTAGTGTTAACAGTCACTAACATTTTTTTTTAAGTTTGTAGGGATTATAATAGTGATGATGTCTGTCCATCTGTCAGTTCATGATAGACTTGGATGCTGTATGCTAATTTTCCATAGACTTTGTGGGTTGTTTTCAATTTTGGTGTGAAAAGTATGACGGGTATTGCTCGAGTTTCTTAGATATGCTGCTAGCCCAGGTAATTTTAGATTTATAGCCCTTTATTAGATAAACTCATATAGATCATGAAAAATATTGTAGGATATACAGGAATACTGTACTAGACTCAATCATTTGAGACTTATAGCTTTTGATTTCTAGAAATTCAGATACTGTACTGCACAGTAATTCATGACCATTTTACTGTAGTTTCAACCTGATTATTCCTCATAGATTCTGTGGACTCATTTTCCTCTTCTCCAAAGTTCAACAAAATGTAGCATTAATATTGTGTTTCTGCCTCTCAACATGAATATTTTTTTTTCTGCTTGATAAGTTTCCTCAGTCTTTATGGATTTATTTTTGGTCTGATAAGTATTATAGCACATTCTTGGTAGTGAATATTGGCCATGTTGCTAACCCAGATAATTTAATGCCATCATAACCATATTTGTTTGGTGAAAACACCATTTACATTGACACCTGGATGTTATTTAATCACATTCGACTAACCCTTTACTCATTTGGTTTATACTGTACTGTACTTGAAATATATATCACTGTGCACTGTAGGCAAACTTGCAGGTCTTCTGACAATCACTACAGGTAAATTTAGAATACATACCTCTGTATAAAAGATATACACCTCAGAAATTTCAGTAACATGAGATCTGAAGGCCCTCATCTTTTTACAGCTTTGAAGGTTGACTTTTGAGTTTCACAATGAATACTACTGTTAGTTACTTTTTTTGTTTGAGAATTATGATAGATTTTGAGTCACATGTAAAACTTAGCTTCAAATGTGCCCAATAATTTTATATATATATTTTTTTTTAGAGAGAGAGAAATGATGGAAGGTAAAAGTTAACATTTGATACTGTACAGTAGTACATGTTAATCCCAGGTTTCCATTCATTTTGCTTTCTCTGTTTTTTTTATGTCTTTGTTAATTATTTGTCATGTATTAAGTGAACAGGTATGAAGGGCTTCTCAGTAAGTTATGAAGCATACAAGCAAACTGGAGTTTTAATCTCACTAATATGAAATGTATTTAAGTTTAGAGATTTAATACTGTATTTCAATGAGGACCATCATTTGCCATGTGATCTTGATAATATAATTTTGGTAAGCAACTTGGCTGTACAGTACAGTAAACTCCTTCAGCCAGGAAATTATAATGTGCAGGAGCTCATTTTGTGGATTTTATTATTATTTATTTATTTTTTGTTGTACTCTGGAGTCTGTTTTTATATTGTGGAATGGGTTTTTAAATTTGTGCTTTGGTTTATATTGTTTACATTGTGGAATTGTTTTTTATTTGTACGCTGGTTTCTATTGTCAATTTGTAGACTGATGGAAGGGAGTAGGAATGGTGCTAATGATTCATAATGATGTAATCACTATTATTCATGTGCTATAATCAACTTTTTAGTCATGAATATATGCACTGAATTATCAAAGCCCTGAACTAAGCTGCCACTCCAGAGTAATTAGGGTGCTTACAGTATCTGAATTTATGAATAATAATGGTCTTTCCAGTATATGAAGTGGATATTACTCGATGTTGATAACTGTGTAAAGTAGTGGTACGGTGGTGATGGTCATGGTGTGGTGGTGCTAATAAGATTGGTTTTCTTGAGCAGAGGTAGTGGTATTGGTCATGATAAAGTATTTGTTTAGTATTCATAACAATAGTGTAGTTTTGTACAAGCACTGGTCTAGTATATGGTTAAAAAAGTGGTGATCATGGTTGCTGAGTTGTGATACCATGGTTGTGTTTACATGAAGGAAAGATGATAATTTTGTGCTGAAGTAAACTGAAATAGGTCAGGTTTTATTTATGACTGAAAATGATACTGCTTTCATTGTGTGGCATTTTTATATACAGTAACAGCATAGTGATTGTGAAAGGAGTTTATCTTGTGGGGAAAGGTTATTTTGAAGCACAGTTTTTGTCGATGAAAAGGAAAGTGACTGCACAAATTCATAATTGTGCAGATATAGATATAGCATGTGGTGGTGTCTCACAGGTGAAGGTGCTATGTGAGACGAGGGACAGAGACCACTCAGAAGAGCTACGTACTGCATTGTTACAGCGGTACAAGATACTGCGCTTCGGCACTCAGTCTACCACCAGTGGGGGCAGCCAATAATTATCTAGTGGTTCTTCCCATCTTTGTATATTTATGTTGAGTATGTATGGTTTTTATATACAGTATTAATATTAGTCCCGTGCAGTGCTCATTTTGAACACTACGGTAGATAGTCGTGTTTATGTTCTTCCCACTTCAGTTTCAGAACAGGTGTAGTGGTTGATGTTTTTGCCTTCTTTCTTAAATTTGCAATGTCCGCCCCTGCTTGGTGTAAGTGAATATGCATACGTACATTGTGTGTTGTATTTTTCTTGTAATTTTTTTGTTTAGTATAGTAGCATGAATTTTGTTTTGCAGTCCTTCAAGACGGCACTTGGTTTTTATGACTGATGTGTTAAAGCACTGTAGATTCGTAGATACCTCAACAAATTTTCTTTGTAGTATGATGTACTGTATTCAAATTACCCAATTTCTGTAAATTTTTGGGCTACTTGCATATATCTTAAGAGATATTGCAGTGTGATGGTAATGCAAATGTATTTTGTGATATTCATTTATCAGTACAGTACTGTACTTGTAAATTTCACCACATTTCCAATGATAATGTTACATTCTTAAGTTTTCTTTTTGTGATTATTAAATAGAGAAAAGCTTTATCATAGAGGATATTGTCACATGTATTATGATAATTGCAAAGAGTGCAATATACTGTTCAGTAGAGTACAATACTGTATTGGTTGGTTTTGTGTAAGGCTAAAATAGCTTCGAAGAGACAATGCTGAAGGTAATGGATACAGCCTTATTGGTGTTTTGGGAAAGCATGCAGCAAGAATGGTGGAAAGGAAGCAGAAATACTTATTGTTTATAGGAAAATGGATTTGGACTTTGAAGATGAGTAGACTATACTGTTATATTATCTAAAGAATGAGAGTTTTTACAAAGAGAGTGCCCTCATAAAGGTGAATTAATATGGCAGGGATATGTGGCAAGAAATAAAGGAGGATGATTATAACATGAAAACCCATTTTATAACCAAGGGCCTGTTCAGGTTCCCTCTTTTTCTTCAGGTTTAGATTGATCTTTTTTGAAGTAATTGTTATTTTTGACATGAGTTGGAAAGAAGGGACATAATTTTTTGTTAAATTTTGCAAAGTTCACACCGGAAACTTATTCACCCTACTAAGAATAATGCCACTTTTACAAGGTATTTGGTGTGGTCCCATACAGTATGAATCCTCTAGGAAGCTTTACCAAGCTTGGGTCAGTGCAGTGGGACTGTGTGGCATTTGGAAATTTGTAAGATGTATATTTTGTACCTTATAGGGTACATGCACCTTATAGGGTGCGTGTCACATTACCACTTGGGAGATTATTTTATCTCTTCCTCCCTTTATCTAGTTGACACTGGATACAAAAGTTGCCTAGAACAGACATGAGGTTATAAATGATGGATCCTAGGAATTCCATTTCATAAAAATCTGTACAGTACTAGGTGGCTGATACCCTTCAGGCTCCATCCTCTAAATGGAAATGCCATGAGGTTGGCTGGTTATTATTGGCTTAGGTCAGGCAGTTCCACTATGGCTAACAGCAGTGAATAGGCAAAGTGCACACAGCTCATCAGTCTTCAATGGCAGCTTTTCCTTTCACATATCTTTGTTTAAGGTATATGGTTGTAATGGCAAGATATAATTAATCAGTATGACAGGCCCAGCTGTCAGTGTCAAGGAATTTCTCGAGTTTTCTACAACTAAAAACATTGGTGATTATACACACATTACCCAGAAAAGACTTGGTTATACAGTACAGTGCAATAGAAATTTTAGATACTTTTTTTTAGTTTCAGATTCTAGTTAGTTTTATAAATCTCCACTTCATGCAGTGGTGTATCCATGTTACAACTTACTTGCATAAATTAATTATCAGATATTGTATGCTCCTCCTAATTCTTATTCCAAGTACCACTTCTCCCCTTTTCACCATGTTATTTGTGGGCATTATCAAGTACCCTATACTGTACAGGCACACCTCTTTTAACACTCCTGGAGAATGGAGCACTAAAAGAAATAGCTGGACAAGAGGTCGGTGTAATGTGGTTCCTTAAGAGATGTCTTTGGGACAGGAGTATTTCTTGCAACAAAAGTATAATTTTTAAATAATACTGGACAGAAAAAATACAATACGTTAGGTACTCACCAGTGTATTCAGAGGGGCATGCGTAAGACTGACCATCGTCTCCTAAAATGATCCTACACCACTTTCATGTCCAACCAGCTCTCCATCTTCTCCAGTAAAATGCTCCATGAACAAGTTGTCTTGGTTGCTGTTAAAAAGGTGGTTGATGTAGCCAAACCCAAGCTACAACCATTTCCAATCTGATGCTCACCTTTCTCCACACATCTTATGACCTGTATTTTTCATCCATTCTGATGTTTTTCACTGACTGTTTTGGAATATCACTAGCAATATCACTTGCTGGCATTTTTCTAGACATTGTGGTTCAAACATACAGGCAAGTTAAAAATAGAGTTAGTAACACAGTATAGTATATATATTATTGTAAACACGTGCCAGAAGTGATCAAAACTGGCAGAGGAGGCACTGAAGCACATGGCTCAGAATAAAGGAGAATATTAATTGTTGCATGGTTTTGCATGGAACTTAGGAACATTTTTATATAATTTAATAATTTATTTGTTTAAATAAAAATTTCTTCCAGAAAAAATAGCATTATACTCTACAGTATAATGAAATCGCATTCTAAGAGGTATGCCTGTACAGGGGTATAGCACTTCAGATATATTTACTAGCTACTAAGTCAGGTATAGTTTTGGGGTATACAATATATTAATTGTTAGACTCTTTAACTTGAAGAATAATTTAACAAATTGTGACATTAAACTGGTATATCCTTTAAATTCTATTTTGACATCTTCCAGGATGCTAGTGAAGGTTATTCTATATACTGTACTGTACATTGATGACTTACAAGAGACTAATCTTTGTTTTTTCCAGAATTCTCTTAGATATGCAGTTATAAAATTTTGTTGTATAATGCAAATTGTCTCAACATTGAAGTGGCTGTTACATTTAGCTAGTTCACTCAGTTTATCTATGTTAAGGATATATACATAACTTGGTGATCTCTGCCTGTCTTAACTGATTTGTGCCTGCAAACTGTTAATAACCCACGCAAGCAAACCAAGTTTGGTATATGATGTTCACAAGTACCACACCTACTGTACTGACCTTATTTCATAATCTGCAGAACCTTGGACAATGGTTATATATTGCTGTGTATTAAAACACCTCTTGTGACTGGGTGCACTGATATTTCAACAAAGAAGTGTACAACATACCTGAATGATTTGTATCACTACTGTACTTCCCATCATAGCATTGTCATGTACATGTATTTTCTGTCATGAGTGTTTTGTGAAATTTTAAATTTCTTTCAGTTACTACAGCACATGATGTCTGAATTAATCCTATACTGTATCAGTTTAACAATATTTCATGGGTTTTGTTTTTTGGAATGACCAGGTTGGAACAGGCACATACAGGGCATTTCAAATTATCCAAAGAATTTTTGGAATGCTATTTAATTTTTAGAGGAACCTTTTCTTTAGATTTTTTTTTACCATTATTTACATTATTTCTATCTTTTAAATCAAATTACTATGTAAATTTATGTTCTTGGAGATACTGTACTTCTATTCATCCGAGATGTATTTTCAAAATTACTGTACTGAAATAAATAACAGTACTGTATACTGAACTGTACTGTTCATGCTTCTAAAAGCTACCTGTCATGACATTTAAATTATCCATCCATAATATTTTTAAGTAAGGTACAGGTACATTTGTATTAGAAATACTTATACAATATTTGCTTCTTTCAGGTAAAAGTAATGGCAGAAACTAAGGACTATGATCATTGGCTGGAGCTCAAAGCAGCCCTTCAGTTACGTTATGAGAGGGTCCGCTTTGCCATGCCTCACCTGATCCACGATGACTCCACCTTGTAGTGGTGCACTGCTGCTGCATCATGTTGCATTCCACCACTTCAGCAAAGTGTTAGCAAGCTGTTCTACTCTATTATTTTAATAAACTTTTGACTGATAAACTCCATATCTTAAACAAAGCTGCACTATACTGAAAAATGCCATGACAGGAGTTGTCAGTTTGTTGCATGAGAGGAAGTTAAAGACAAGACATAATGCTCCAAAATTATACCTGTTACAGAACAAGCAGGTACTGTACTCTCTTCTTATCCTCCATTAGTTGAAACTAAATTTATAGAAGCCACTCTTTTGTTTTCAAAGTAGTGTATACCTGTATACTGTACTGTACATAAGGTTTTCCAGATTTACTTTTTTGATTGAATTATTTTTATTTTATTTTTTTCAAATGGTTATAATTTAGATAAAAATACTGTACTTCCTTTGGAGTAAAGCAAATTGAAGAGCACCAAGTTTGTGCTGTACTATTGAGTGTCTGTATGTACTGGCAGGACCATTGCAGCACAGATATTCATGTGTACAGTGTGCCACTATCAGATAACTATGATATAATTATTTATCCCCCTTTTCCTAATTGTAACATCAAGGACAATCATTATAGTAACTGTTCCGGCCAAATCTACTGTGTGATATTACAGAATTTTCATTGATGGCTTCTAAGTTGGCCTTTTATGGGCAGAATTAATGCATGGATAATATTATAACACTGTATATACATATACAGTAGTAGCTCATTCAGATACACAGTAAATACTGTCTAGTCTGGGAGCTTACTAATAAATCACCTAAATATTAAATTTAAAAAAAAAAAAAAAAATCTTGTTAAGAAGCCCATTGGTGTTATTTTTTTTATTACAAAGTTTGATTCTAGAAAAACAGTACATCATATCTCAAGTTTTGATTGTTAAAGTATAGTTAAATGCACAGCCACTTAGGGTAACTCCATAAGGTAGTACAAAGTTAGTAACTTTTGCAATAGCAAATGACAAAAGCAATAAACTGTAGCATGACCTTAGCAAGCCTTTGTGTAAGTCAGTCTTTGTTTGTAGGTCACTTCTTATTAATGTTTTGGTTTTTGATGTCAAGAAATTTAAGTCAGATAAACTTTACGTAAGTGTACAAAATTGTCAGATGACAAGCTCATCATTTGTGAAAATACATGTTTCAAACCTAAATTTAATTTAGTTAAAATTAATGGTACACCATTGTGCTCCATGTGTAATACATAATTTTAGACAGTACTTACAATAGTTGTTTTAAAAATAAAATAAAAATATTGGTCTTTTCAATAATGTATCAATCCTAAGTAATGTGATGTTCTAACCTGATCTGTTTGCTCATTGAGTTCAATATTTTCAAGGTTTAAAACTTATTAAAAATAGATTTCTATGCAATCTCCTGAAAATGCTTTGCACTAAAAACTTATTGTATCCAAAGTTCTCAGAATATAAACCTATGAACGAGTAAGTTACTACAGCTATTTACTTACAGGTGTTATAACTTTGAAAGGTTTGTAACTCTTGAACCACAATTCTTAGTACTTATAGACAATGATTTATGATAAAAAAAGTCAACAATCTCACCTATTAAAGCAAGATAACATGTTAAAACTACCATGATCTGTTATTATGACTGTCTAGTTCTTAAAAGTAAAGAAAAATTAGCAAAAAGGATGGAAAACTACAATTTCCAATTTGAAAATACATTTTCATAATTACCAACAATAAAACTATGTAACATAAAATTGAAGCATTGTATATCCTTTTCACTACAATATCCTCCAAAGAAAACATATCCATGAGTTCAAAGGAGAATATCTAGTGTGGGATGCATCATCTTTGGCTTGGAAAGATCTACTTACTGTGTTTATAGTTTAGTAAAGAATGCCAAGTCAAACAGTACAAGGATATGTTGCAGGATTAAATGAAAATATAGGTTTAATAGAGATGGCTGGAGGCATACTTAGAAATAACCCTTATTCTTAATTCTGAATAATTTTTCTTAGTGCAAGGATGAGGCGAGGCATCACTCGCTACTTGAATGGGTTAGTTCCTTGAAATCCATTCTGTTAGCGAATAATATAAATGGGGAAAATTAGCGTGGAGAGGGTATAGTGCACAATTTGAATTTTCGATCAGACCAACATTCAGATGAGGAATATCACCTTTGGATAGCGAGATGAGGTGCTAGAATCAATGGAAAGATTTCTCAGCTACCCAGAGAGATTAGAGCACCTGCAACTGCCTAGTTTATACAACAAATGGGCAAGAGGGGACCTAATTGAGGTATATAAACATCTCAAAGTCGAGTGTCCATACCTGTAGCTGGCAGACACCTGCCCCACAAGGGGTCACAACTCACGGTTGAAGAAGCCGCAAGTCCAGAAAACTATGAGGGTGAACTTTTTTGGAGTAAGAGTTGTTAACTCTCGAAACAGCCTGCCAGAGTGTGTTGTGATGGCACCGAGTGAGAGCCATTTCAAGACCAGACTTGACCAGCAGTGGAGCAGGTTCAGATATATTCAGGAGCCAGTGCATGCCCAGTACTTGCCAACAGAGATGTGACCGACAGCACAAGCAGCTATCGAGCCGTTCAGTGGTGAAGAGGATAAAAGTAAAAAAAAAACAAGATAAATGTGTGCTATTGTAAAATGAATTATCCTTACAAGTACAACAACTGTGAAAAGGAAAATATATATATACCTTATATATAAATACTGTAATCTGAAACAATGCTGATTTACACTCTTGGAATACATTACCAAGACAAGTCATTATTGTGTATCGGTATGTTGTGCTAAAAGGGTGCAGGAAGGAAGTCAGGATGTGGACTTTAGGGATGGTTAATTCTCAACAGCAGGAAGCAATGAAGATGAAGACTTGATTAAGGAGACTATTCTGAGAGCCTCACGTTTGCCAGTATCCATGGCACCATCGACAGTACCATATCGTGTGTTGTGGGTGTGTTCTCCTGCCCACACCACCACCTGCAATATTCATATCACTTGAAAACAATTTGTAACACAGTTTATGAAATTTATCCACATTTTGTTGTTCAACATGAATAAATAACCATTATTTTATAAGATTTTATGATTTCTACTACTTATTGGCTTATTAGCTGTTCGAGTGGCTGGTCTGTTACTTTGTAATGGCCCTCACTGACCAGTCATGGTACAGGAGGAAACTGAAGTACCTGGAGAAAAGTGCAATGTTTGGTAAGGTCACACTAGATAACAACCTTCTCACATCTAACCAAGGCCCAGGATTGAACCCACAACACAGTAGTGAGAGGCATGCAAGCTATCAATGTGCCACCAATTGCTAAATTTTAACCATTCTTCCACATCATATTCCAAGCACACATTTCTTTCTTAAACTATTTTTACTTGAAATATCATCAATACAGTACAGTATTGAAGAGTTGTTTACTTAAGTGATATGAAAATAAGGAACTTAATTACATGTCTCAATGGATGTGGAAACATCATTAACAGAGACCAAATGTGAAAAGGGCCTAGGTGTGTAAGTGAACAACGAATTGAAGTACTCAGACCATTGGGAGAAGAAGGTGAATCAACCAACTAAGCTAGTTGGTCTTATAAGCAGAACATTCACAACCTTGATGGTCCATCCCTCATAACGATCCTCGAAAGTGAGGTGCTTCCCCATTTGGAGTACTGTCTGGTCCCCGAGATATGCTAGAGACTATCAGCTGATTGAAAATGTCCAAAGGAGGTCCAGTCCACCAGACAGGTGCCCTCACAATGGCATCTCAAGTTAACCAGAGATATTGGAATACCTGCAGTTGTTCAGCTTATACTTTAGGCAAACAAGGGGTGACTTAAGTCTATAAAAATCTCCGATGTCATTACTCAGTCAAGTGTTTATACCTGTAGCTGGCAGATGCCTGCCCCACTAGGGGTCACAGCTTAAAGTTAAAGAAGCCACAGGTTCAGAAAATTGTTAGGGCAAACATTTTTGGAGTGAAAGTAGTGAACTCTTGGAACACCCTGCCAGAGTGTGTTTTGACAGCACTGAATGTAAGCTCATTGAAGAGTAGACTTGATCAACACTGGCATAGATACAGATTAATTTTGGAGTCAGTACATGCCCAAGACTTGCCAACAGTTAGCCGAAGCGGCCGACAAGTGTTGAAGAGGATAAAGTAAAGATGAAGCTGCACTTACTGCTTTGCCTTTGGAGTTGGTGAGTGGGACTGCTAATTGGTCACGATGGTGTATTCCTGCTTTGGCCCCAGATACAGTTATGTAGCTGGAGTATGATCCCCGTGTCCAAGGGTTACTGCTCCACCTTGACCTGGAAAAAAATAAGTAAACATGGTAAGAAAGCACCATACCCCCAAATCTTCATCAGTGTATCACCCGGTGTCCGTAACTACCGGTAACCAATTCTTGCTAGTTGAGGCTTACTGAGGTCTTAACTGAGTTCTCACCATAATCCTACCTTGTCATCAAAATGCCTACCCGGTATCTGTACATCTCATTCTAAATACTTTTGGAGAAGGGGAAGTTTGCCCTTCATGGATCAATGTCAGTAAAGGAGGGAATCAGAGTACCTAAAGAAAAACCTACAATGTTCAGTAGGGTACACTGGACATTCTTCTTTTTGCTTCTGACTCAGGATCGGTGAGCACTGTTTGTCGAATGAATTTATGTTTGTGTCACCAAAATCCACCCCACTCATAAAATCCTGCATTCTGCAAATGAATGTTGCAATAAAGTAATAAGATATATCTAATAGTTCTTTAAGTGATGACCAGGATGGAGGTATGAAGAGACAGAAAGCCGAATGCCTTAATTCACCACTTCTGTCAGTGGGGAACAATAACATTACTAAGTTCTCACCTCCTAAAGAAGGTGGGCTGAGGGATGTTTTCACCAGTAACTCTTTTGAGGAGGTAGAGGACATGCTTCTTAATGATATCCTCGGGCAAGTTCTCCACGTGAATGGAATTAGCTCCTGTGACAAACAGCTGCAACACCCCCCGATGACGATGAATGCTGTATATGTTCACCTCACCATACAGCCATGACTAGGATGACAAGTGAAAACAATTTCTTATGAACACATTTTTTTTACTAATGAACTTAGTTTAATGTAAAAGATAGTAACGTACTTTTTTCATGAAACATAGAGGATTTAAAAAAATATATGTTATACTGTACTATACAGAATACAGTACAATTGTTTCAACATATTGCATAATATTTAAAAATAGCATGGCATACATAATTCTGATTTAAATTAATTTCTTGTAAAATAGGGTGAATTTAAACTTCTTGACAAATACAAAATGTTCCAAATTCACTGTGAAGTCTACCTACCATGTCCAGTGGGAGGTCAAAAGTGGTCCAAATAATGTGAAGATCAAGTGGGTCAGTTCCCCACCAGGGTTCATCCCAGCCCACCTGCACCTTATTTGCTACTCCCAGATGTACAGCCTGGGGAGGAGTTGGGTTTACATTACTGTACAGTACTTAAATTTTGTTCAGACAATAGAAATTTTCTACTGTGTATGTTAGTATGTACTATACTTACTGTACTCAATTTAAATACAGAAAATACAGTTTAAATAAAAATATATATGGTACACATACTGTACTTTATTTAAACAATATTTTTATTGCAAAACTCTTCAACACACTGATTCACACAGATTAAGAATAAAACCTTTTTTAATTCGAGTAATGCAATAAGGTTTACTAATGTTCCTTGAAACAATTTAAAAAATTTTCATATGATAAATACTCTTTTTCCATTAAGTTTCAGTCAATAAAATGCAGTCAATGAATGCATGTGAAGAGGATAAAAGTAAAAAAAAAAAAGTAAAAAGTAAAGCATGTAATCATATCACAGGCAACATCAAGATCTGGGTATTTAAAGATTTTATCTTTTTTTACCATGAAAGCTGTGACTAAACTTGCTGGAAGCTCAGGACTGAAAATATGTTTGTGTCGCTCTCGTATATGGCCAATTGATGCAGTGACAATGACGTGCTGGGCCAGAAAGGTGTCACCCTCGAGTGTAACCACCAGCACCCGGGCTTGATCAGGAGTGTCCCAAAAGATCTTGCATACTGGTGAGGATAATTTCATTGTTGAGTCAGGAATGCCCACCTGTTATGCCAAAAATAATGTATAGTACTTAGATGTACAAGAATCTTGGGAGATCTGACATAATGCAATGAATTATCTTGCTCTGACATTCTGCACTAGAAAATCACACACTCCACAAACAGGGATGTCTGATACCATATATGAGATACCACACTCATGTAAGACTTGAAGAGGTGAGGGAATGTTACTGTATATCACTACTATTTACTACTTATCCTCTTTGCCACTGATAAGCTCAATAACTAGTCAAATGGTCAGCCTGTTCTCTGTTATGGAATTACACTGTATAATGCAAAATACTGGGCATGTATGGCTGAAAATGTAACTGAATCTATCTGATATAATTCAAATGCACAAAAGAAGAACAAAATGATGGTAAATGCGTACCACATAGCACACTCGGCATCAGGGGTCATAAAAGCAACTATGGAATCCCTTGCACAAGATACATATGAGTTTAAGAGCATGATGAGGATTTTATCTATCACCTGAAGAGTATTAATGAATCCCATTATCCAACCTTCAGAAACGAAACATTCATTACATGATGAAAATAATCAAATAAATTATCCGAACATAATGAAAGTAATTAATCTGATATGGGGCCAAAGATTATGGTAATCAATTCTACTATCTTATTTTGAAAATTATGAACTTGTTAAAACTTGAAGGTAAATAATAATGGTTATCTTAACATGTTACCTAGGTATTCATTGATCACTTATCACCTTTACCTGAATTTAATACAGTATGAGCTACCTTAAGCATAAGGTAATTTATAAAAAGATCTTGCCCTACCGTGAGTTGAGAAATTAAGGTGTCATAACCATCCTGCCACTGGTGGTCATCCCCATAGTTAATGAACTGGTCAGCATCCCTGGCAGACATATCCTGCCAACTGCCTGTTCCTTCCTCATAGTTAACCATCTGATGAAGAAAAGCTTTGAGAATGCTGGCTTAATGCATTAATTCTTAACAATAATTATTTCCTTCCCCAAAAGCCATAAGGTACAGCTATAAGGATAAAGCTTTCACTAGGACCAATAATGTTATCACTTCTTCTATAGAACATATCAGCTAAAATTTCTTGTTTCGCTAACTTCTGTGCAGAAAGAGTGTGACAAAAATTTATAAATAATGACTCATGCTTTGAGCACAAAGACAACTGGCAGAGAATTTATGAATTAGGTGGCATCACTAACACTTAACAACCTGCAACAAATCAACTTCCACATACTCTGATGCTTGTTAAGGATGCCAAAAGTGAGCAGAACTTAGATGATGGGTCAATTACTGTACAGTACTTCTAAAACTAACTTTTAGGCTTCAACTTTTTTATAATTTTTATTGTCTTTGTCATTTACAATAAGTGTTACTGCTGGTATTGGTGATGTCATATCTAAACCCCCAAAAAAAAACCTGTTTCAGACTTACATGCTCCAGATAATGCAGAAGAGCCTTCCCTGAAGCAGTGTTGTTCCCAGGCCTATAAGCTTCCTGAATTCTGAAATGAGAAATAATGCAGCAAGGACAGGTGTAGATATACTGTACTGTAGTACGGACTATTACATTATGAAGTTGTTATTATTATTACTACATATTCTCTACAATAAGTTCTAACTGTACAATGTAATGTGACAAATCTACAAACACAATATGCATCTACTCACACATGCCCTCACAAATATACTACATCGTATTGTGTATATACTCCTGTAAACTTAAACACCCACACAAAAACATAAACACACACACTGTACAAACACAAACATCCACACTCAAACAAAGACACACACACGCAAATTTGGTAGAAGCAGTGGAGGTACCTACCTATCTATATAGTACTGGCCATAGCTAGTATTGTAAAAGGGAACCAGCATCCCATTTTCTTTACACTTATTCATCAGCAACTCCGCCAATTCATAGACTTCCGAGTCAACCAGCCTGCCATCCTGGGTCACAAAACGGTGGTCTGCATCACAGAATGTGACATGACATTATACGTACTGCAATGCTGTATTACTGTACATCTCTTTTCATCTAAATCAACATTGGAAGAAACCATTCTTTGCCCTTACATTTGGTTTCTGGGTACTGTATAAGTCTGGATTCATTTCTAGAATTATATACTGTACCTGTATTGTATTGTATAGAAAACAGTTTATACAGTACAGTATTAAGAATAGTAAATATAGAAGTTTGCTGAGAGGGTATATATACAGTACATTTTAAAATCGGGTCGGTCTTTACATTAATACACCATGTACAGTATTCCAAAATAATCACATTCTTCTTAATTCAATCTCATTAGCTAATAGCTCACCCTTCCTTCTTTTCCTTGTCTAGAAAAGCACGACTAGACTGCTACAGTATTTTAGGCAAATGTTTCCTGATTTCCTTCACAAACAATACAAAAAAGTAAATATTACCTCAATAGGATATGTTCTGTTTTCATTTACTGTACGGTACAGTACTATCTATAAAAACTTAATCACCTTATGATTATCGCATTCAGTTTTGGTTTGCAAAAGCAGGAATGAACTTCATAATACAGTGGGGTATGCTATAACGAACGGATCCTACTACGAATATTCCTATAACGAACGGTTTTACCTATAAAATTGAGAATGCTATAACGAACGCAACTCCTACAACGAACGCAGATGAATACGGGACTATTTCGCCTGGCGCATGAATATTGTTGTACCGCGACCCACAACAAGAGCGTCAGGCGCCATCTTTGTCTCATTGTGTAGCCAGTGCACCACTGTTATTGTTGAAATTTCGTCTTTTGATGTGGAAATTCGCGTTATTTGTATAACTATTTTGTTATACAAGTATACAATTGTAACAATGAGTCGTCCAAAGCGAGTGAGAAAGCTAATAACCCTTGAAACTAAGAAAGAAATTATAAAGAAAAGTGAAAATGGAAGAAGCATTGCGAAACTTAGTGATGAATATGGGATGGCTAAATCGACTATATGTATGATTTTGAAGAATAAAGAGGAGTTAAAAACTGTGCAAGTGGCTAAGGGAATCTTTAGACTTAGCAAAGCAAAGTGTAATGTGATTGAAGAGATGGAAAATTTACTCTTAGTGTGGATAAAGGAGAAAGAAATGGCAGGTGGTAACATTAGTGAAGCTATAATTTGTGAGAAGGCCAGACAATTGTTTGAGGACCTTAAAGCCAAGACTCCCAGTGGAAGTGATAGTGATGTGCCAGTGTTTAGGGGTACCTGCATGCTGAATAACACTAAGGTAAGATAAAGTACCGTATTTTTTACATTTTCCACATAATTTTTTCAGTGTTAAGTGGTTGTATTTGGGGGCCTGGAACGGATTAATCCTATAACGAACGAATGCTATAACGAACGAGGTTCTGGAACCAATTACGTTCGTTATAGCATACCCCACTGTACTGTACTAAGCAGTAGTACTTTGCAGTCAAATTCAAATTTTCAGGGAACCAAAAGACTTGAGTATTAAAATTAAATGTTTTAACACTATGGGTTTTGGAAAATAGTATTCATGGAGTCATAATATTTTGGTACAGATATCTGACAGGTGAACCTTGTCCAATGTGTCATTTAAAGTATGCAGTGATGTGACGTGACAAAATGCTAGGATAAGCAAATAACACTATCAATGCTCTCCAGTACAGCACTATGAGTCTAGTAGTCTGCAAAACTGTTAAACAGAACAAAAAGGTTAGATAATTAATAGTTGTTTTTCATTCATCTTTAATACCTTCCTTTATGACACCAATGAGGCATTTGGATAAGGTTTTTGTTAGATAATTAGCAACCCTCAGTACATTATAACTTATTTCAGATTAATTCCCAATAAAATAAATTTTCAGCACTATTTTTATATTATTTTCATTACTGATCAGCTTACTAGCAATTCGCACACATTGGTGAGAGATATGTGCATTACAATTGTAATATGAAATACTAGATTTTAATTATTAAAAACAAATCATTTTTTAAAAATATTTTGTTGTAAATTTACAGTTATGAATTTATGATTGATCAGGTAATGCTGCAGTGCTGTAGTAGGGTAGGGACAACTGGGAGTATGCTGGGCTTATGTTGCCCAAATCTCTAGCAAAAGGAATTTTACTCAGTGATGACAAAAATTTATTATAGATGGGAAATTCCAACATCAGAATGATTTTCACAGCATATTAGATTGATCTGAATCCTATTTACTGGACATGGATTTTGGAAAAAAAGTGGGTTAATATAATTTAAATGCATATTCTTCAGTTTATGTCTGGCAGTGGCATATCATTTTAACCTGCAAGAGGGCAGAAGAGATTACCGCAAATAGAATGATGCCTATTCGAGGGACAGATTTTCATGTGGCAAAAGCTTTTGTCTTGCAAGTTTCAAAAGTCTGGACTCCTTGTACACAGCAGGTTTAAATTCACTGAGATTAAAAAAAAAAATCCAGAATTCTATACTGTATACAATTAAATAATATGTTAACTAAACAAAGATATATTAATTTTGACGGAAAGAATTTTTATACGGTAAGCAATGCTTACCTTGCTTCTTAGGAATACATGCCACTGTATGTAAAGTATGTTAATTATTGTATTTTGTGAAGAAAACGATGCTCAAGCAATTGTGATTGGTCTACTGTCTACTGTGATTTGTGTGTTACCAATTAAGTACAGGTAGAGTATTGTAACTATTGTATTAGAGTTGGAACCCAAATATACCCTCAATGTTAACTGCAGGGACTAATTAAGTGATTGGGCATGTCTCCCCATAGCAACTATGTTCTTTAATGCTTTGAGGATGATAGTCTAACTATTTGAGGAGGCTAGTTTAACCCTCTTCCTGACAATGTCTTAATTCCTTTGACGAAAATGATTTAACCCTATGATGATGATGTTTAACCCACTGATAATGATACACTAGTTTAACCCCTTTCAGGGCAATGACTTAACCCTCTTGTCCATAAAAGGGTTAAAACAAAGCCCTGTATTAGAAGCAACAGTTCCTATAGTACGTACTTAGAGACAAATGAGTCATGACATTACCCCCAGCACGTACACCTCACCTGCCAGACCATGAAAGAGTTTTAATACAAATATAAGACATACAGAAATATAAATACAGATGGCATATGAAAGATATAATAAGAATAAACGACAGAGAAAAGTACAAAATTACCCCAAGCATCATCAGGCAGGTTGGTGTCTACAGCATCTAGCTTAGTGGCCAGCCTGTAGAGGGAATTCTGCTCCCCACCATGGATCCATTCTGCCCCTTCCTCCACCAACACTCCATCTGTCCACCAGTACATGATTAAGTTACCACAAATATGATGATCATTTCAGAATTACTTGTACTTCAGTGTAATCCTGGAGCAGATAGATAACACCAGAACGAGTTGTTTGATTGCGTTTATTTTTTCCACAGATGTTTTTTGGATGATAGTATGGTAAGTAATAAAAATGACCAAACCAACCTATCATTTTTATTACTTACTATCTTCCAAAGAACATCTGTGGAAAAAAACGAACAACTCCTTCTGGTGTTAGCCATCTGCTCAAACATTACCATTACTTCTAATAAACTATGATTTCTCCCACAGTTTAGCAGGATGGCAATTATGGTAAATTTTAGATATGAGATAGGAATGCAGGTCAGAATCGTTCAAAACCTATTGGAAAAAGATAATTTCAACGTAACCTAACCAGTAAAATTTTAGTTTCGGTCATCCCTGTATTTAGATATTCAACCTTACGTAACCTAACCACAGAACCCAGGAGCTATATCTAATCTAATCACGGAGGCTTCATCCCCCCCAGACCCCCCCTTTCTGGTGGGGGTTAAATTCCTAAGATTCCCCGGATGACCGCAACTATAATAACAGTACTCTGGTTTGTATGTGCATGATAGTTAACCTGTGAATCCATTCCAGTCAAAGTGTGTGTGCTCTGGTTAACCTAACAATCTGATTAACCAATGTGTGCACTCTGGTTTCGTCTATGTGTACTCTTTGGTCCCAATCAATGCAATGTAGTTCACCTTTTCTCCATGTACTGTATATTTTATCTGCTTTAGATCCCCCATTCATGCTCTCTAGCTCACCTTGCCTGATGGTATGCACTCTTCCCCCGAGACGGTCTTGAGCCTCAAGCAGTAGAATGTCCTTCACTCCGTGGGTGAATAGAGTGTTGAGCGCTGAGAGGCCAGCCACACCACCGCCGATCACCACCACATCTACGTTCACTGCCCGTGACAACCTGTCCACACATGTCACAAGGCTAGTTAACAAGCAGTTGTTATTATAATATACATTATTATTTTAGTTTCGGTCATCTGGAGAATCGTAGAAATTTAGGTGAGGTTAGATATAGTCCCCGGGTTCTCTGGCTAGGTTAGGTTAGGTTACATTAGGTTAGGTTGGGTTACATTACGTTAGGTTGGTTAAGTTACATTACTTTTTACTGTTATCCTCTTCACCACTGATCGACTTGTTAGCCGCTTGGGCGATCGGTCATGTCTCTGTTACACACTGTTGGCAAGTACTGGGCATGCACCGGCTCCTGAATGTACCTGAACCTGCTCCAGTGTTGGTCAAGTCTGGTCTTGAAAGAGCTCACACTCGGTGCCGTCACAACACTTTCTGGCAGATTGTTCCAAGAGTTCACAACTCTCACTCAGAAAAAGTTTGCCCTGACAGTTTTCTGGACCTGCGGCTTCTTCAATCTTGAGCTGTGACCCCTTGTGGGGCGAGCGTCCGCCAGGTTAAGTTAGGTTACATTAGGTTAAGTTGGTTAGGTTAGTTAGGTAGGTTTGGATATCTAAATATAGGGATGACCAAAACTAAAATTTACCTAATATACTTCAACAACTACGGTCTATATATACATATTCTATATTAGCAATACATTAATAATACACCATTAAAAATTAATAAATGCATCTCTGAATCAATGGTTTCGATATTATTATCATTTCAATCATGTAACGAATTTTAGGATTTTCAGTTTTGTAATCAGTAGTTTAGACAATTGTAAGACACTTTTCTTCTGTAGAGTTTCCGTAGGAAATTTAAATTTTTCGAGTATTTAAATCAATAAAATGACCAACAACATTACTTGTTTAAAGTGTGCAGGGCTTTGAAGGAAAGGGAAAATGTGGGGTAAAATACTTAAAATAATACCCAAAAAAAAAAAAATTTCAAAACCTTACTTAACGTTTCCTCACTTATAAAAAATGTTGAGAATCACTTTCGAGTTTATGGATCCCTCCTCACCTGAGCACCCAAGACAACACCGACACATTAGTACATTACTACCTCAGGCAGTAGGTAGTAAGCAGCTACCAAACAGTACAGTATATCGTTTTCACTCTTGATTTTTTTTTCGTTTTTGTATTTATTTATGGTTATTATTATTATTTTATTTATTTTTATTAATTTGCTATTAATTTTATCCATTGTTGTAGTGATAATAATATTAATAGTTAATATTACTGTTGTTGTTATTATTATTATTATTATTATTATTATTATTTCGCCCCCCAGGCCCTGATGTGGGCTAACCCTCGTAAAAAAAAAGGTAAAAACCGAAAACACCCTATTAGTCACCGCAATCATGGTTAACTTTTTACTTTTATCCTCTTCACCACTGATCGGCTCGTTAGCCGCTTCGGTGATCGGTCACGTCTCTGATTACTTTTCCTTTTCTTTTATAATTCTAGAATTTTTAGAGGTAGGAAGCGTTGAGTGAGATTTTCAAAAGTTTGTTTAGTGTATTTTAGTATTTTACCCCACATTTTTCCTCTATTTAAAGCCTGCCCACTTTAAACAAGTAATATTGTTGTCAATTTTATCGGTTAAAATACTCGAAAAATATAAATTTCCGACGAAAACGCTATAAAGGAAAAGTGTTTTAGAATTGTCTAAACTACTGATTTCAAAACTTAAAATCCTAAATTCGCTACATGACCGAAACGGCAATTTTACCCTAGTTTCTCACTTTAGCTTATTACATATCTTAATTACATATATTTATCGATGACATCATTAATGTTAACGTTTGTGCTGACGCAGTCACCGTATTAACTTGACAGTGTTGTCAGACACAGGCAAACTTTCTGAGTGAGAGTTGTGAACTCTTGGTACAATCTGCCAGGAAGTGTTGTGACGGCACCGAGTGTGAGCTCTTTCAAGACCAGACTTGACCAACACTGGAGCAGGTTCAGGTACATTACATTCAGGAGCCGGTGCATGCCCAGTACTTGCCAACAGTCCGTAACAGAGACGTGACCGATCGCCCAAGCGGCTAACGAGCCGATCAGTGGTGAGGAGGATAAAAGTAAAAGTAAAAGTAGATTTATTAGAATCCTGTGATGGATAATAGTACAGTATTACTAAACTCTTGTCTTTTGGTAAATAAAATAGACTGCTAAGCTCTATTCGGTGTATTTCAACTATATAAGCTGACGTAGTGGTCATTGTTACTGAGTGGCTCTTGTATAGCTAGAAGTTAGCGGAAGAATTTGGTGTGTAAGGAAAGGTAACGTGGTGGTGTGGGTTGAACAGGTGGTAAGAAGTGGTGGTGGAGAAAAGTTGCATAGTAGAGACGTAAGTGGTGCAGATGGTGAGTTGTGAGATAGTGAAGTGGTTCTAGTGGAGGTAAAGAGTTGTATGGTAAGGAACGGATAGAACGTATACGTCATTATTGGTAGTGGCAGAGGACTCACCATGTCTTGTAGTCGCCGGTGAGGTGGTCACAAGGGTGGGTGATAGTGGACGGTAGATGTGCCATGGTACCGGGGTCTGCTGATTGGCTAGCTGTGGAGAGTACACCACCCTTAGTACATGTTACTATTATACCCTTCTCTCAGGTTCCGAGATTTATACACATACCTTCTTAGGTAAATATTTAACATTTTCTGGACTTTGACAAGCTGTTACAAGGAAGTACTATGCTCCACTACTGAACGAACATCCCAGGATGCTCCACCGCATTGCACGTCATCAGTACACGCCAACAAAATATATTACACCAATATACTCCACCACAATATATTATACCAGTATGATCCAGAACACGGTATAACATGTCAATCCGTCCACCATACGAAATATAATTCAACAGCTGCAACAGCATGATTCACAAAAAAACTATATGCACAGAATGTCAAAATTGTGATTCACTACACAAAACCTACCATCGAATTGCGAATCAGTGGAAATGGCCAACAGCAGTCTATCACCTTCAATTAACCAATCCTGGGCTTGCGGGTTCTCACTTCACCACGTGCGCACTGGGATACATCAGCTCCACAAGGCTGAGTGGGAGACTGCTGGGACTGAGAGCTAGATCCGCTTCGGTGATTTGATCACAGCGTTGCGTGACGTGTCGCATTGTAAGTACAGGAGTACGAATATACTGTGTACTTACCCCTTTGCTTACTGTATGCAATGATACTGTATGTTATGTAAGTCAAATACACTATATACAATTTACATGGTTACACATTTGGCTAAAATAATAAGAATGTGACCACAATGCGATTTTTCCCATTTTAAATGTTCACCAGAAAACAATAATGCCAAAGGAACAATCACCATCATCATCTCCAGGGCGTTTTACATTCCTAGAAGTGAATAAAAAATTATTTTGCATACCAGACCATAATTAATAGCAAGGAAATCCTCGTTAGATGTACTTGTAGCGTACCGTATGTGGCCTGTTATCTTAGTATGGGCACACAAACGTACGTACGTATATGGAGATATCTCACACTCAGGAATGAGGTAGAATAGAAACTCACGATGCGCTTTTTGTATATATATTGTTGTATAGCGCAGTGCTTAGGAGTGACTAGGTGGAGAAGCTTGCTCAGAGGTCCTATAGGGCGAGGAGGAGGAAGCTGGGTGGTGAGGAGCTGTGAGAGATGTTGCTGGTCCGGTAACCGAGTGTAGAATGGTCTCCGTGGTTCAAGTTTAGAAGCTCCAAAAAAAGTTGTTGGTAGCGAAAGGCAGAGTGGGGAAGATGACAGAGGAAGGAGCAGGAGGTTAGGAAGGGAATTGTAGTGGGAGAGATAGTGCCGTGGCTTTACACGACTGCGTTTATTTGGTTAGCGCATAGCGCACGTATTTGGTTTTGTCTGTGTTGGGTGTGTGATCCACGGGTCACCACTCCTCCGGATTGTGTCAGTTCAAGTTTAGAAGCTCCAACAACTTTCCCTGAATACGAATTCGCAACTTTTCGATTTACAACAGGTACCTACTTTACTGCTAGGTGAACAGGGACCAAGGGGGCTAGGAAGAGTGTCCAAACAACTTCCGCTTGCCCGGGAATCGAACCCGTGACATCTTGCTTGCAAATTACTAGAATCAATCATTTCAAACTCTATTCGAAACCACCTGGAGAAGCACAAGTTGATCAATGATTCCCAACATGGCTTCACAAGCAGGCGTTCATTTCTAACTAATCTATTAACATTCTTTTCATCAGTTTTCGAATCGGTGGACGAGAGGCACAATTATGATGTGGTATATCTCGACTTTAGCAAAGCCTTCGACAGAGTCCCCCACGAAAGACTAATTAGAAAGGTAGAAGCGCATGGCATCAAAGGTAATATCCTTAAATGGATTAGGGCGTGGTTACGGGACAGGAAACAGCGAGTGAGCATAAACGGCACTAAATCGCATTGGAGCAACGTTACTAGTGGAGTTCCCCAAGGCTGAGTACTTGGACCATTATTATTTATTATATACATAAACGATATAGATATCGGCATAGACAGCAACATAAGTAAATTTGCTGATGACACTAAAATAGGACGTGTAATTAAATCTGACGAGGACTCTGCAAAACTACAGGAAGATCTAAAAAAAAATTTCGAATGGTCGGAAAAATTGCAGATGAAATTCAATGTGGACAAATGTAAAGTACTCAGTATAGGAGATGTAAACAGGGAAACCAGTTACCAGATGAACAACGATGCCATTGTGGAATCCGACTGCAAGAGAGATTTAGGAGTAATGATAAGTAGGAATCTTAAGCCAAGTAAACAATGTGTTTTTGCTCGTAACAAGGCTAATAAAGTACTTGGGTTCATACAAAGGAGTGTTAGTTACAAGACTAGCGAGGTCATCTTAAAATTATATGTAGCGCTTGTGAGACCTCACCTGGATTACGCAGTTCAGTTCTGGTCACCGTATTACAGAATGGATATAGAATCCTTGGCAAGAATCCAGAGGAGAGTGACAAGCCTAATCCCGGGCATTAGGAACCTTGAGTACAGAGACAGTTAAAAGCATCTTAATTTGCACTCCCTCGAGAGACGTAGAGTGAGGGGCGACATGATAGAGGTGTATAAATGGAAGTCAGGGTTAAACAAAGGGGACATTACAAAGGTACTCAAACTATCTAACCAGGAGCGAACTCGTAACAATGGTTTTAAATTAGACAAATTTAGATTTCGGCGTGAAATAGGTAAACACTGGTTTGGAAACAGAGTAGTGGATGAATGGAACAAGTTACGAAATATCATCATTAACTCGAATACGCTGGATAGCTTCAAACATAGGTTGGATGCTTATATGAGCAATAGGGGTTGGGTATAAACGGGACTGCCCAGTATGGGTCAATAGGCCCGCTGCAGTTTCCTCCAAGAGGAGCTCGGTGGCATCACATTATGTTTATATGAGTGTTTATACGAGTGTGCTATTATAAGCAACTATAAAATAGCTGATATTTCACGATTTACACGGCCATAATGACCCAATAAGTATTAGCAAAAACTTAAAGAAAAATGCTTGAATTGTACAGAAAATTGAAAAAAAGGGGAAATTTTGGTTATATAATTAGGGATTAGGGGACAATAACAGAATACTAATCGGGAACATTGAGGGTAGGGGGGGGGGCAGGGAAGGCAGAGTTATAAAACCTTAGAGGATTGGTTTAAACAGCCCGAGAACGTTTAGCGTGGAGGATTGTTGTCGTCAACCCTCAGAAGTGAGGTCGGTATTCTAATTGAGTGATATCCTAGCAAAATAAACGAGGATGAACTTGCCTGAGATAATTTTACTCTTATCATGTTAGTCGGTTCGTGGGTTTGAAGCAGCATCGTTACACATTTACATAGGTTACATGTAATACAAATAAACAATACATACAAAATCTTACGCACCTTTGTTTTAATTTTACTTTATTTTATCTACTTCGCCACGTGGGCGGTCGGTCACGTCTCTATGCATGGTTGTTCTACTGGCTCCAAAATGTACGTGAACCTGCACCAGTGTTGGTCAAGTCTGATCTTGAATGAGTTCACACTCGGTGCCGTCACAACACTATTTGGCAGATTATTCCAAGAATTCACAACTCCAAAAAAGTTTGCCTTTATTTTCGTAGCTGAATTTGTGACTCCCGGTGGAGCGGGCATCCACTGGTAACTAGTTTTTCCTAGTATGATCACTCGTCCATAGCGTCGTCCGCACATATTTGTATATGAGTGCATAACATTTGGTATATCATTTATGAACAAAGAAGCAACGGTCACAACTCACTGCTCCTTTGCTTCCCGCCTGTCAAGGATACACTACACAGTACTGTACACATGACGATTTCATGCTATTAACCACCACATCTGCTTTCGGTCATGATGAGTCTGTTTTCCACGCAGGACGTTCCCTCAAATTCCTTACCACCCCAGTTTAATTTTCAGCTTCCAGAATGTGTTCAGATCCAGCACCAAGCACAAGCATCCGGGCATAAAACCGTACTAGCACACTGTGGGGTTATGTGAGATGTTTCTCCTCCATCCTGTGTGAGTGCGAATCTCCGGGGGTCACCATTTGTGGGGTTTCGAGTTGTTTGGTTCACACTCAGGATGGGATGGAGAAAGGAAACTCACAATGTGCTCTCTGTATACATATTGTATTGGATGTACAATGCAGCTTGGTGCTGGGAAGGCAGCGTGGTTACAAGCGTGATGTAGAGAGAGATGGTTGGTGAGGGTGCTCAGAGGACAGCTTATGGGTCGCCATGCTCGCCGGCGGGAGCGAGGGCCGCCAGGCAGGAGTAGAGGAGGAGGTGTTGCTTGAAGACTGGCTGTAGGTAGAAAGAGTGGTCACCACGAGGTGAGATCTTATATAGCGGAGGTAGGTGTGGCTTAATAGTTGACCTCCGTCATGTAAGGCGGCGCTGGTTGACCTAGACACGAGGTGCGACTGGATTCGTGGGTCGGCTCGTCAGCGACAAACAGCGTTTGTAGGGGAGGAATCCACTACAATACCTTTACGAAGTTGTTTCGCTGATGTTCCATCACTGCATCGCGTATAATACTTTCTAATACTTTACACACTGTGCTCGTCAAATTCATTGGCTAGTAATTAATTATTTGTGCAAAGGCCATCACACATGTCATTTTCCCCAGGACTTTTATGAACGATGTAAGTTGTCAATAATAAATCAAAATAATTAAACATATGTACATACATATTAACCGTAGATAATTACCTTTTAAAGACGAAAGGTATCGCAAACTGATCATTGAGAATACAAACTTACAAAATGTAATTGTTTATTACCCGAGTTTATATACTGTAAACACATTTATTTTGTTACTGTAGTCCCTCACCGCTGTACATCAGATCAGGGTTACATAATGGTAAACGATGTATAAAGTAGTTTTCAGTTAATGAGAATTTATATTGTTAAGACATAAATAAACACTAATATAATAATATTTTCATTGAATTAATGTATTTTATAGAAATTTAGTAATTGTATATAAGAACATAAAATATAGCAACACTTTATAAATGTTTGTTTATATGGTACAACTACAACACCCAGGACAGACTCCCGGTGAGGCCGTCTGTGTGGAGTAACCCCCAAAATGCTTGAGGTATATCAAGATCTAAGTCTCCCATATAATCTTTAAGACACATGGTACTTTTAGTGCAATGGAATTCTAGATATCCATTCACTGTTTATTTTGAATAGCCATTGTGAATGAAGTTACTAGGCCTGTTTATCCAGATCTTATTATTTACCTTATCTAAAATACTCGCTGGCCATCCCACCTAAGATCTCATTGTTCTTGTCAAGGGTTAGTGAAAGCAAATTTTCATTCTTGCTCCTATGGCTTGTGTTGGTACACTCCCTTATGTCTACCACCCTCTGGACAACCCGAGCAACTTTGTAGTAAGTGCTGGACCGCTGGAAATTTTTAAAAGGAGGCTAGATAGATTCATGGATGATAGAGAGTGGTAGTAACTCTCGACAGGAGCTGCCATGCACAGGTCAACCGGCCTATTGCAGACTCCTTATTTTCTTATGTTGGACGAAGAAGTACTGGTAATGGTTTACAATAGTTGCAGGCCGGAATCTGCAACTGGAAGACATTTCTCCATTTAATTAAATGCTTCCATACGTCATGAGAAGACTAAACAGTGGACAAGGAAATTGTTTTCTAATTCTGTGCGAGTTTTAATGATTTTATCCAAGTTCTGACATTGCAAACGATCATTTGTTTATATCCAATGTGGTAATACTTGACAAGTGTAGCCTGGCCTTAGCAGCAACCTGAGGATATTTCTCCTGAGAAGACAAACTGTTTCTTACTTGGAGAAACATACATACAAAAAATGCAAGACGAATTCTTTTTGTGGACTTAGTTCTCTACAGAAGAAAAATTGGTAATCCTGGAGCAGGTGGCTAACACCAAAATGCATTGCTCCGGTATTACCAAAAATATTCTAACATCAAGAAAACTGCATATATATATATATATATATATATATATATATATATATATATATATATATATATATATATATATATATATATATATATATATATATATATATATATATATATATATATATATATATATATTCATTCATTATAAATGATGGACATGTATCTGCTGCATCAATCCACTGCCATTTTTTTGCTTGATCTTTTGTTGATATACAAACACTTAACAGTAACTGAACACTTCCAGCAAATGCTACATTATATCACTAATCCAAGATAAGATGAACCTAACTTAATGTTAGTAGAATAACTTTTATAAACGGTATCATAAGTAGGTTTGGTTGGTTCATATTGGGTACTGTAATACAAATCTTGATGTGTGAATAGGTTTTACCTCCTCTTCACATGGGAAGAAATAGGCTTCTCAGTTTTCAAATACTGCAGTTTTGTGATTCCTTCCTGAAAGTATAGACTATATCAAAGTATAGACTATATGAAGTTCTCAAGTGTTAAGTGTAAAAATAATTATAGTGCTTTTTTTCCCTTGTAAATATACAGTGTATATACTATATGTTTTTTTTTTTTAGATTTGTCCAAACTTTTAAGGACTATGGCACACCTAGGACCAATGATCAGAGTAGCATCATCAACCCGCATTGCTGCCCGTTTAGGTGAGAAAAGAAATGAATATGAAGAATGGCATCACCTGAAGAATAGGCACCTCAGCTAAATTCACCTGTTGCTTAGACACATAAATGCTGATGGGGTGGGGGTAGTAAATTGGGTTAGTGTTAGGGATTTTAATCATCTGATAAAATAAGCTGGGGTTCCTAATCGTCAGGTGATCACAAATATGATCATTAATGTAGTACATATATGCCCATGACAATTACAAAACTTTCACTTAACCCTTCTATATCAGGCTTCCTATGTCCTGTCATTATTTTTATTCAGAATAAGGCTTCACATAAAACATTATACAAATTGACCAATACTTTTACTGTATTGACTATTGCTGTATTTAGCTAGAGTTTTTGGTTTGATAATACTGTATTCCAAACATTTTCTACAGAACTCTATTTTACTTTATTTTTCTGTACAAAATCAGAGGCTGCCTTGTATAGGAGGTATCTGTTCTTGAGATAGTGTCACTGCCCTGTCAGATTAGTGTGAATGCTGCATTAACAGATGTATGCCAATCTAAACCAGGGTTGATAAAACAATCACTGAGGTTGTACAGGTACTAGAAAAAACTTGAACTTAAGTTGTTCATTTGACTTAACTCTTTAATCATTTTCCAACCCCTTGACCTACTGTACTGTCAAGAAATGTTGCCTTTGTTTTCTGGTGCTCCAAACTTACCAATACTGTAAATAAATGCATTCTTTTTTTATGAACTAAGGGGTGTTTAGTGGCTGATATGCAATCTAGTTTATTCACTGTGCGAGTGACTTAATTATTTTATTTGTATACGATCTTAGCAGATTTATGATGGTGTTTCACTTGCTGAACTGACTTTTCATAGATGTAGCCAATGTGTGGATTTTCAATTTCTATTTAAAATTTAATAAACATTGGGTTCCCTCACTGTAAATAGAGCACTTTTTTAGTGCCAACTTCATTGTGCATAACCTTGGCCTGTTGAGAAGCTCTGGACATAATATTGTATGGGCTAATAAATTTTGCTTTTAGAATGTAAAGTACCGGGTATGTGACTTTTGGCAAACAAAAATAATTCAAGGAAATGTTTAGATCTTCCACCACTGGTGTCACTTGAATTGTCAAAGGACACATCTAGGAGTAATCTGACCTCAACCTGCTAGACCTAACTCCCACCAGTGTGAACCTTGCCTTGGCATCAGTTTCACATATGCCTTGCACCCTGAGGAATAATAAATCCAAATATGGGTTTCATACATTTATAAAGCTCCTCATTTGACTTGGTTTTTATATAAATTGAGCAGTGGATAGTGTTCCTGACTTATAATTTACTGGATATGGCTTCTGTCCAATTATGAGTGTATGAGAGTTTGTTTTTCTGGTGAAATTCATACTTGATTACAGTAGTTCAGGGTTCACCCAGGTTTACCTGCTGGCTCACGAGCTTTTGAAGCAACAACTGACCCACAGTCAGAGTTTGCTTTTTAAACCCCTGATTTGGTTGGCTGAGTGATATTTACCCTGTTTGACAGAACAAATTCCATTCCTGAAAAATACAGACAGATCCTTGAACAAGGTAGGCTCTGGCAAGAGCAGTTCTGGTAGGATAGTCTTTTAATCAATTGTCCCATCTTCTTGACCAAAAAATGAGATATTGTACTCAAATCTTTTGCTATTTTTCTGAGTACTGTATTTAACAAACCATTCATGTATGTGAAAACATTTCAGTTTGTAAAAAAACAGTCAAATTACTAATACTGTACAATACTGTATAGTCTTAAGGAAACATTTAAAACTGACTAATATGTTTTCACGCCTTTACCTTTTAATATACAATTCTTCATATGGTCTTTCCTTTTAACTTCTCTTACATTCACATAAATTCATTTTGAAGAAATATTTTTTTAATACAGCTGTATCAGTATGCAATTTGCTCATGTGACCAAATTGTTGAAAATTTTGAAATTTAGATTTGTTAACATAACGGTATATACTGTACAGTGCTGTAATATCATAGGGAACTGCAGCTCAAGTACAGTACCATATCTTGAAATTCTCTCATCATTTGGCAGGAACAAATTAGTATTTTGTGTAAATTTTATATCTTCTTTGTATTTCTGACTAGGAATAACTGTAAATGCCTTGAAGATCTCACAAAATGGAAATTCACCTAAGTCAAAAGATACAGATGACCTAAGTGCAAGCTTTCGACGACTTGGAATATCTCCAGTGGAGGCTCATATGTCTGCTGCCTCCTCAGTGTCAATCACCACATTCATAGGGTCACTACACAGCACTCAGGAATACAGGTGAGAGGGATAAGTAAAATGTGTACAGTATTTGAAGTTATCCCAAAGTTGCATTATCACTAAAAAAACTAAAGATACATACTGTACCTGTGATTGTTCTTAAGCTATAATATCAAGCTCAGAAATTTCACAAGATCAACAAGATAAACATCGGATCCAAATCAGACCAAAATCGATCAAGTGTTGCAATGATAATGGTTCACAATATCATAACACATACAATTTAAAGAAAGTGATGGCATGAAAGTCTCCAGCAATGACAACATTAATTTACAGAAACAGCATTATTATTTTTATATATACGTTGCTATGGTAATGATTTGCAGGCGGGGTTTACATTTGTAAGTACAAAATATTACTTTGAAAATATGATGGATATTTGTTTAAACTTGACTACCCATTCACATTACTGAACAGTCATAGTTATGAAAGCAATACGCCTTGACCTTGGTTTTATTTATAACATTCTAGACTACCATCCTTGGCAAAGCCTGTGCGTATCACTGTTCCAACCTTACACAATGGAGCAATATTAGAGAAAGATCTTCCACCTATTCTTGATATTGTGGAGAAAACTGAACCACTCATCAAGAGGGAGATTCATGAAGCCCCATCAGATCAGGTACTGTATGCAAGTTTAGATATGGTTGTTAAATGAAATGCAACATTATTTTAGTGATGAGGACCATATAAAAATGTTTACTGCATTATTAAATGATCCATAATGTTCAATCAGATTATCACTTTAATAACTTAGGTAATGTGTGACATATATATAAATTACAAAGAATACTCAGCAGTAAATTTTAAGTCAAATTGCATATTGTCAAATAATATTATACAAACTAAATATGAAGAAACAAAAGCACTTACTGCAGCATTTTATACTAGTCCAGATAACAGTTGAACTTATTTTTCATCAGTGATAGAGCGGAGAGGCATACATTTTCTCTTGGTGCAGATGTAATTGAATCATGTCCAGACCTATGGTATTCTGATCCCTTATACTTTAAATGGCAAGTTTCACTTCTCAAGAATCCTTAAGGACTCGGCTGTGGAAGGAAAGCCCGACTATAGTACAGTATTTAATGATTTACCATTATATCTTCCCAGCTAATGTTTAAGAGTGTACCTACCTAGATTTTCATATTTAGATCCTGTCCTCAGGTTAAGAAGAAATCTTAATACCCTATGGTACTTGTGCTTCTGTGTACATGCAGTGATTTAAACATATATCCTGCATAGCATTATAGAAATGTGAATTGGTTTCGCTAGTTATTATTTGAAACAGGTGCCAACTGCTAGGATTAAGAATTTTATTCATTATCAATAATTTTATATTATATTTTTCATTATTCTATGATGCAGGTAATTGAAAAGCATGCTGCACGCCTCATTGTTATAAGAAGACGGAAGATGAAGAGGCATAAGCTGAGAAAGTTACGCAAGAAGATGAAGTTTGTGTGGCTGAAGGCCAGGCAGAAGAGAGAGTATCAGAAAGAAAAACTTTTTCAGGTACATTACTGTGCAGTACAGTAGACCCCCACCAACCACAGATTTTGGGTATCCACAGGTTTTACTGTGTACTAATTCACCAACTACGGCATTGAATTTTGAGTATCCGCAGATTAGAGTTGCATTTTTATCCCATCACAAATTAAATGAATTTGAAGCTCCCTCTATCTTCCCTTCAACAATACTTCTCCAGGGCAAATGCTTTGAGGGGGTCAGTATGTCACCCCAACCACCATCCATCACACATGTCATCCACCACCACAATCTCTAATTTTTAAATCATGACACTGTAGACATTATTTGGGAAATAGGACAAAGTTACCTCAGGAGCTTTAGGTAATTATTTCCATATTAATCAAGTGTTCATATAATGCAATTTTCTACAATGCAACTTTGTATAAGAATGTAACACTCATGTGGAATAGATATATTTGCAATTGTTTCTGACTCCATCTTTGCAGATATTTGCATAAATTAACCTATAACCTTCCTTTTCAGGCTGAGCAAATGGCAAAAGTTCGTGACTTTGAAGCTTTTGATGCAGCCAATTATGTAACAGATGTGCTACGACGTACTAAAGAGAAGCCTATTCCAAGGTTCTGGAAGGGTAAGAGACTTCCCCAGCCTATTATTCAGCAGCTCATGGAGGAAGAGGAAATAAAAAAGAAGAGGAGGCAGCAAAAGTAACATTATGTTAGAAATTGTTGTCATTGCCGCAGTTGAAGTGTTGTTGTGGCCATTAAGATCACTGTCACTACTTTAGAACTTTGTATTTATGAAACATTTTAAAATATGGAAAGATTTACTCCTATACATCTTTCATGTCAATGAAAAGCTTTTTGCTGTCATGTTTTGTTTTGCAAGTTCAACTGTATATATTGTACAGTAGTCATATAAAAATTATGGTGAATCTAGAAACTATTATTTTTCACTCGGCATTTAATTTTGAATATTATCCTTTTATTACATAGCAGTTGTACTATTTGACACAAGTGTACTAACGGCACGCACTGCGAGAAGCTGGGTATGGGCTACCCTACCTCCTAAGAATAAAGTTAGAGTTGATTACTTGATAAACTTTTCCCAATAGTATTAACAGTTAGTCGAGCTTTACACAATAACACATCTTGGATAAACCTCATCGGTTACGATACTGTCACAGTCAAAACTGAGGAGGATGCAGTAAATACTACTGACAGGTATAGGAGAAATCCCAACACCAGCAGACATTTGTAACAAGAGAGACTGAGAAAAAATAAGTTTCCCCAAATTATTCCTTCCGGATGTTCATACTCTCCTAGCATACGAAAACCCTGAGCAATTGAAAACCTCAAGAGAGTTAAGCTTAGGCAATTTCTTCAATTTTAGTCTTGGTAGAGCCTATTAACATTTTAAGATACTGTACTGTACTCCCTAGGGGGTTGAACATGGCACAAGGAATCTTCACTAAAGTTTCAAGTCTAAGGTTGAGACAGTGAGTTTTCTGTCTGGTGTATTTTGGCTCTGTTACTAAGGGCAGTTAAGGAAATAAATGAATAAGTTACCAACTAACTTAAGCTGGATATTTAACAAGTAAGGAGAAGTTGAGGCTCTCCTGTAGATGTGTTTTCTAACAGGTAGATTTTCAGTGTACACGAGAGATACTCGATAAGGATTACAGCTATATCACCTCCATGAGACGCGCATTTTCTTCTCTAAAGAACAAATTTCTGCCTTGATAATGGGAAGCAGTGAACAATTTTATATAAATATTAAATATTTAAAAAAAAATACAAGTGTATGAAGATGATGCATCATCAAACTATGGATTATCAAACTAGAATAAAACATGAGTTTTACTTCACATGGGAATGTGAAAATTTTATTTGATGGATATGTACCAAATTAAACTCTACATTTCACAGTATATTAAAAAAATGTGTGTGCATTCCTGACCACAAAACAATCATTAAACTCAGATTTATAATCTGAGTTAATTCTAATTCACATGAAACTGGTGGCCTTTGGCCAAAGATAACCTTTCTGGTGACAAACTAATAAAAATTACAACATGTTAGTGTTATGAAACTAGAAAACAAATATTCTGCAATGGCTTAACCCTCTCAGCCTCGCACGAAGCCATTGTGGCGTCGAACATAAAAGGCAAAAAAAATTAAGCTCAGCCTCGCGACTCCAACGTGGCGTCCAATGAGCTATATTTTCAAATAACTAAAAAACTATTCAGTGAAACTGACAACTTTGGACGCCATTTGACAGACGGCTTTTTCTTTGTGTGAGCCTTATTACCTTCCCCGAAATGGTCTTGGTCATCGTGTCCATGGCAGTGCAGCATGAAGCCAGTGTCGCTCTGGCCATTAGAGTGAGAGGAGGGTGTTCCGCTCGGCCTTTTAATTATTTCATGAGTTTTTGTGTTATACAGTATTATTTTCCTTTTACCACGATATTCTACATGTTTTGTTATTTTTTGGGTACCCTATATTGTACATATCAATGAACACCATAATACAAGGAAAATTTGAATGGAAATTGAGATGTTACTGAATATTTAACTAGTTTTTCAGCTTAAACTAAAAAAAGTGGCTTAAATGTCAAGAAATTTTCAATTTTTTATGGTTTCATACAATTTTACGCTAGAAGAGACCCCATTACAATTAATAAAACAATTCCATAGCAGTAAAATGAGCCCTAAAAATTTATATAAATTTTTTTCAAAGATTTTTCTGCAAAAACTTCCGAGGCTGAGCGTAGGTTTTCATGCCTGTATGTGTCTCAGGCTCTGAGGGTTAATAATCCATTATTTATATGACAGAACCTTATTTTATGGTTTTAGAATGGGAACTCTCACTCATTGACACACTCTTAATAAATGCATAATTACAAAAGTTACAAATGGAGCTAATACACAAAAGTACAGTCATTAAGAGGAAAGTGATGAATCCCAAGTGAAGTTACAAGTGTGGATTACTTAAATACACTAACACAGTTTGCACTTACAAAAATTCAACAGTTCAGTGATATATGAACACTTAGGTCCTACTGGACAACTGACTGCTGGAGTCCAGCTTCACTCACAATGCTGCTGCCACAGCACTCCATGTACAGTACACTGGTGTTCTTGATACACATTTGTCTTTCTCTGACTTTGGAGGATAAACATTGGTTTATTCAACTGGACTCGAGTTACAGAAGAACTCCTTATTTACAGCACTACCAACAGAGACTCCTGTTTAAACTTACACTATCGAAAGTGAAACAAAGAAAAAAAATCATTCATACATAGTTTATGAATTTTCCATAAGAATCATTCTCTTTGGCTCCATTAAATCGTGCTTTGATATCTACAGATACTTCAGCTACCATTATTTTCAGATATACAGTAATTCTCATACCTCTTGAAACACTTTGTGGAAGGCATATATAGTACTGTACATATCTCTCTATTCCTAATGAATTAGCTATTGTAAAGTATTGTACAGTATACTGAACCCTCTACCGAACCCCTCCTCAACTATATCAAATATAATACAGTACTGTACTGTAATACAATTCTTAAATGTGACTTAGAAATAAAGAAAATATAAAACTATAAAATAAGAAAAATTAATCGTGAGAAGTTAATTGTGTGTGTGGAGAAGATGAGAAAGGCAGGTTGCTGGCTGGACTGAGCAGAATCCCCAGTCCTACGACCCCCTTAAAATGACAGTACAGTATGTAGTTTCACCATAATTCCTATATATATTACTATATTTAGGTTCATTAGGTGCAGTTAATAAAACATTATTGCAAAACAATCAGTGCCCCCTCCAAATAAAAATCCCACACTCAATCCCAGATGAGTTTCTGTATCATATTAAATCCTGGTGTTATACTTACATAGACAAACAGCTGACCAGCCAGCAGCCAGGAAGGGAGCTGTTTATGTGTTACTGTATTTTTTATGTACAGTACTAATATTATGTATGGTATTTATTGTACTGTTTCTTAAAGTTTAGTGTTACCAAAGTATAATTTATACAGTATACTGTACTGAACCCATCATCACATATCTCAAATATAATACTGTACAGGTATCCCTCAATATACGAATGTGATAGGTTCCTGAAAGACCATTCATTAAGTGAATTTTCGTATCTTCAATAACAGAACATGTGGGAAAAATAGGATTCGGTTCCCCAATGACAAGAAAACCCCAACATCTTTACCCTCAAAACATGAAATTGGTTCTTAAAAAAAAAAAAAAAAAACTACAGTAAAGACAAATACAGTATGTAGTACACAACTACATTATTTTACTACCAAACATTAAAAACATTAATAAAATACAATTTAGATGAAAATATACAGCTAAAACCATTAAGGAAAAGCTAAATGAAAGTTTAATACAACTGCCATTTGCATACAAGCTGCTGCATTGCCTCAAACCTTGCCATAGCAACACAGGTCAGCTGGGATGCTGCCTCTGCCGACCCTTAGCAATGGGGCTCCGACATTCTGCTTACCCCTTTTGCACACAATTTTTTTTTTATTCTCTTAAAATTTTTTAACTTATATTTGTTTTGTTTTTTGTACATTATGTATGTAGAATGTACTGTATGAAGAAAATTTTGTGTACTGTATCTACCCAAAATTATGAGTTGAAAAATAACCATAACATAGCTCACCTCAACCTGGCAGGGAGAAGACTAGAAGGTGGCTGCCCCAGCTGACTCCCAGAGCATGCAATTTGAATTTATGATAGGACCAAATTTGTATGTCGGAACATTCATTAAAAGAATAAAAAAGACGGCCTTAATTTAGAAAATTCGTACAAGCAAATTTTTGTACCTTGAATGTTTGTATAGCAAGGGATACCTGTACAATGCTGTACTGTATTAAAGTGCTGTAATATGACTTCTCTGGACTAAATATACCAAACTTTTTCATAGATACCGAACAAAGTTTGCAATTGGATGAAATTTTCAAATTCATTTTACTGTATACAGTAGACCCTTGCCATTCGCGGCTTTGCTATTCGCAGTAAGCAGATGGTGGCTATGGTGGTTAGCTTGCGAACCTCTCCCACAGTGCAACACGTCACCCCAGGCGCCCACAGCGTCTTCTCTCCCTCTGTCCGTGCTCAACTATTGCCTGTGATGCAGCATCTCTTGTGTTGTACTTTCAAAATTTTAGTGTTTCTGTGTGAAAATGGCCCCTAAAAGATTGCCTAGTGACAATGGTAGTGAAGCTAGTGGAGTGAAATGTAAAAGGCAAAAAGTCAGTGATGACCCAGACAAAGAAAGTTGAATTATTAGACAAGTTAAAGGAGGGGATGAGTGCTGCCGCAGCTGGTCAGTTGTTTGGTGTGACCGAATCCACAGTGCAATACATAAAGAATGAACAAGCAATTCGTGATTCTATTCAAGTGAGTGCTCCTGCAAGTGTTTAAGTGGTGCAGGTTGTTTGTGACATGAACATAGTAAAAATAGAAAAAGCACCAAACATTTGAATTGAGGACCTGCACCGCAAAAATGTTCCGACCGACAGCAACATGATTCATGAGAAGGCTAAGAGTCTTTATACCCATTTTTACGAGACAACAGGTGGTAAAGGGGCTAGTGCGGCTTCTGAACCAAGTTTAAGTGCCAGTAAAGGGTAGTTCAAGAATTTTAAGAAAAGATTCTCTCTCCATAATGTGAAAGCTGACTGGGGAGGCCTCATCAGCTGACTACACAGTTGCAGATGCATTCCCCCAAAGTTAAAGAAAATAATAGAAGAGAAAGGCTATAGACCAGAACAAGGATTTAATGCTGATGAATCTGGTCTATATTGGAAAAAGATGCCTGGTAGAATGTACATAAACAAACAGAAAAGGCATGTCCCTGGGTTCAAGGCAGCCAAGGACAGAGCAACACCCATCTTCTGTGGCAGTGTG